GTTACCAGGCCATAGGAACACATGCAATAGAACAAGTGGTAGAATGGACACTGAGGCTGCCATTTTGAGCGCACTCCTATTCTTCTTTAAGCACCCCCTCCCCAATTTCAAGTTTAAAAACAAAACTTGATCACATGAGAGAGTGACACCCTAGTTTTCTACTTATTTGTTGTTGTTTAGTGGTGTCCAACTCTTCGTGACCCCATGGACCAGAGCATGCCAGGCACTTCTGTCTTCCACTGCCTCCTGCAGTTTGGTCAAACTCATGCTGGTAGCTTCGAGAACACTATCCAACCATCTCGTCCTCTGTTGTCCCCTTCTCCTTGTGCCCTCCATCTTTCCCAAAATCAGGGTCTTTTCCAGGGAGTCTTCTCTTCTCATGAGGTGGCCAAATTATTGGAGCCTCAGCTTCACGATCTGGCCTTCCAGTGAGCACTCAGGGCTGATTTCCTTCAGAATGGATAGTTTTGATCTTCTTGCAGTCCATGGGACTCTGAAGAGTCTCCTCCAGCACCATTTCTAGCCATTTACCCAGAGCAGCATTCAAAAATAGCATTCCCCAGCCAATACAGTCCGTTCTACCACTCCACAAAATTCTCCCACCTCATTGCTGCATGTGTAGATCAATCTCTGGAGGAAGGAGGTCTCACAGCTTTGGAACAACTTCTGAGAATGCTTCTAACTGTGCCATTTGAAGCAGTGACAGTGCTGTTGCTTCTCTTAGCTGCGTTGTATTTGCTGAGAAAAAGTGCACCATTCCCACTCTACAAATGAGGACTTGAGCAAGAATGAATGGCAGCACCTGTGCAAGACTGTTTGGCTAGGCCAGTGATGGCCAAACTTGGCCCTCTAAGCTGTTTTGGGACTACAATTCCCATCATCCCTACGTTAGCTAGGGATGATGGGCATTGTAGTCTAAAAACAGCTGGAGGGCCATGTTTGGCCATCACTGGGCTGGGCTATAGCTTGCATTTTCCTTCAGAGCTGGAATGCTCCATGTTTGGCTGCCGCCCTTGATATGAGTGACCAGAGCAGTTGTCCTTTTGCATTCTCCCACTCCTGGTGCTGTTTAAGCACTTAATGATCATCTATCCAGATTACCAGAAGCCCATGGGTCTAAATCACTTGTTAAGGGTTTAAGCTGTCATTTAGTAAGTATGTTAATTGATATTGCAAGGAATATCTCCAGGTATCTTCCTAAATGCCAATTATCTGGTTCAACATTCTGGCAATTTGAGTTTGTTAGTAAGAATCTAATTACACTAGTTTACTGCTGATGGAATTACACAAGAAGATTTCTCTCTTACATACTTATTAGGGCACCATAAGTGATCCTTAGCAGTCTGTTGCTATTCAATTAACAAGTAATAACTTTCTTAATGAACCTAATTGAAATACTTATATGAGTCAGGCACCTTACAAATAAATAAATAAATCTCCCCCCCCCCCCCTTGGAGCACTTTTCAGATACACTGTTCCTGTTCACTTGAGCAAGAACCTAGTAAGAGCTATGGTTAGTTGGGTGGTTCCTGCTTGATCTATCACCATTTAAACTAGGTTGTTGTGTTGTGTTTCAGCACAATTAATGTTCATAGGCCCCACATGTCCTATACCGAGTCTATGCTAATCTCCTCCCTCCCTGCAAACTTGTCTATAAGGGCTGAGCCACACAACCACTAGTCCCTCACCAATTATTCCCAACTGAAAAAGCAGTGTTGAAGCCAGCCTTAGGTTGTGATACCTATAAACTTATTCATGTATTTATTCATGATCTGTTTACCTACTTAATTCTACAATGCATATGCTGTTTCCAAGCAGTGCCCACAACAGGGTTGCAACAGGATGAAAATCAGTTGAAATTAGCCATAAAACCAGAAACAATTACTTAAAATGCTCCCTGAAATTTTAAAAAGGTCTTCGCCAAGCTCTTTATATAATAAAAATCCCCAAGTGCTTTGACAAGAACAACAAACTAGAAACAGTAACATTAAATAAAATCTCCTTAAAGCAGAAGAAAACAATTTATCATAGCTTTGAGCAGTGTATAGAGAATAAAACTATGCCTGCCATACGTTTGGACTTTCCTGGACACAACAGGGATGCAGGCGGATTTTTGCCGAATCAGCAAAATGCCGAGGAAAACCCAGTCATGTGGCAAGGGGGATAATGTTTAAAAAACCAAATCCATAAAAATTACAAAAAAAGCCCCAGAACTATTTTTCTTGGGGGAGAAAAGTTCAACAACTTGGGGGAGGGGAGGTTCACTTTTGGGAATATGGCAAGCCTAATAAAATGAGTTAGAGTTCAGGAAAGTTTGGGTAAACATATAAGTTTTTAAGAGGTGTTTAGAGGCCGTTGTTGTTGTCGTCGTCTCCCAAATCGCCTGGGCTAGGGTATTCTGAAAAGCAGCTGTGATCACTGAGAAGGCCCACGTCTGAATTGTCAACAAATGATAATCCACTGCTTTTGGAGAACCCTTAAGGGTTTCCTTACAATATATTTAATCTCAGTTTGGTTTGTACTTGAGGAGGTGGTCTGCCAGGTACCTGTATTTTTCACTCTATAAGACGCACCAGACCATAAGACGCACCTAGTTTTTGGAGGAGGAAAACAAGGAAAAAAATATTCTGAATCTGAGAAGCCAGAACAACAAGAGGGATCGCTGTGCAGCGAAAGCAGTGATCCCTCTTGCTGTTCTGGCTTCTGGGATAGATGCGCAGCCTGCATTCGCTCCATAAGACACACACACATTTCCCCTTACTTTTTAGGAGGGGAAAAGTGAGTCTTACAGAGCAAAAAATACAGTATGTTGGCCCTAAGTAGTTTAGGGCTTTAAATCTCAGCAACAAAACCTTGAACTCGGCTTAGTAGCTAATAAGTACCCAACACAGATCTTTTGGCATTGAAATACATAATTTGTTGTTTTTTTTCACATGGAGAGAAATTATCTCTTTGCTACCTGTGGACTTTATCTGTTCTCCTCAGTTAAAGTTGAACCCTCTTCATCAAAGTGGGGAGGAGGAACCATCTGGATTTGATTGCTCTTTTTTAAAAATTATCCATCCATTCCCTAAATCAGATGTGGGGAATCTTTGTCCCTCCAGATGTTGCTAAACTACAGCTTGCATCATCCCTGGCCACTGGCCTTGCCTGCTAGAGCTGATGGGAATTCTAGTTAACATATGAAGGGCTAAAGGTTTCCCACTCCTTCTATAAATCTTTAGTGGTCTTGCTCCACTTCCGGGCCAATCCAAATTGCTTTCCTTCCCCTCTTTTTTGTTGACTTGTTGTTGTTTAGTCAGAGATGTTATTGTCAGCCATCTTCCGATGCGCCCCTATTGGCCCCCGAGCCAGTGCAAAATTTCAATGTCACCTGGGAGACCATTGCCAAACAGTAGTTTTTGGACCAGACAGTTGGTTGAAATATTAATTTGCCAAGCACATGCATACCTATTGGATTAGCCAGGGGTCAGCAAACTTTTTCAGGGGGCCGGTCCACTGTCCCTCAGACCTTGTGGGGGGCTGGACTGTATGGGGGGGGGAATGAACAAATTCCTATGCCCCACAAATAACCCAGAGATGCATTTTAAATAAAAGGACACATTCTTCTCATGTAAAAACACGCTGATTCCTGGACCGTCCGCGGACTGGTTTTAGAAGGCAATTGGGCCGGATCTGGCCCCTGGGCCTTAGTTTGCCTACCCATGGATTAGCCCTCTGATACTTTTTTGTTTTACAAGATACAAACTAAATATAGTGAATGGTTCAGGAGGTAAGGAGGGAGTGATGATTGGGAGATATATATGGAACAGTTTGTTTTTAAACTGGCATTAAACAGGCAGTTGATCATGGTGGACCAATGCCAGCTGCCATTGGGGCCCAACACCCATTTTATTTCCTTTGGAAGAGTTACTGTGTGGGCTGCAACCTTTGCTTAAATTTCCCAGTTACCTGGATTTAGTGTCACAATAACAGGATAGAGAGTAATAGCTTTCGTCGTCTATCATGTCGTTTGCCTGTATATTAATGAGTCCCTTAGTACTCATTGAGTTGAAAGGCCTTAATGGCCCCTTCACAGCCAGCCAGCAGTAGTTATAGGGTCAAATATACATATGTATACTCTGGCTGAAACAGAGTGAGTAATTGTGCATTAAAATATATTTCACCTCTTACAAATGTCTGTGAACAATTTAACCGAAGCAGTGCGAAATTGCTACTAATGGCCTAGCGGAAACATTACAAATAAGAGAAATGGCGGAGGTCAGGCTGTCAGTTCTCATGCTGGTTACAGAAACAATGCTAGCATGGGACGAGAAGACTATATAATCAGTAAGCAAGACCTGTCCTCCTTTTAGCTAAATAAAGCAAAACTAAATGAAACTAAGCCCATTACAATTATAGGGTCAAGGACACGTAGTGGTTTTAGACAACAATTGCTTGATTTGCATGCGGGTTCCGTCCACCCCCCCCCCCCACTTTTCCTTTATAAGAGTAATAAATAAATAAACTAAAAGCATTATTTTGTTATTATCTTCAATTAGAACAATAAAAGTGCAGTAAACAGGGCTAAAATTTCTAAACAATGAAAACCATTTGCAGCTGGGAAAATGAGAAAATGTCTTCGCTTGGCACAAAAAATGATTTAAAAAGTAGTGCCAGGTAAACTTGCATGGGGACAAAAGTGCATGGATGGGGTGCCACAACTGAGCCAGCCGCCATCCACCTCACTGCAGAAGTTGGCACACATATAGAAGGGCCTCTGCTAATGATCCTTCTCCACAGGAGTTTTTGGAGGCATCAAAACATTATTTTATTGATTCTGACACTGTTCACACTGTTATTCCCCCTCCACCCATCTCTGTGCTTCAGTCGTTAGCCTTGCCTTGCCTGCTTTTAAATACTTGCAGCTAAGACTTGCATCCTAGAATCATAGAACTGTAGAGCTGGAAGGAACCACTGGGATCATCCAATCCAACCCCCTACACAAGGCAGGAATCTTGCGCCCAACGTGGGGTTTGAACCCACAGGCCTGAGATTAAGAGTCTCGTGCTCTACTAGCTGAGATGTTCCCATGGCCTGCCCCAGATTTAGAAATAATTACAGTGGTACCTCAGGTTACATACGCTTCAGGTTACAGACTCCGCTAACCCAGAAATAGTACCTCGGGTTAAGAACTTTGCTTCAGGATGAGAACAGAACTCATGCTCTGGTGGCACGGCAGCAGTGGGAGGCCCCATTAGCTAAAGTGGTGCTTCAGGTTAAGAACGGTTTCGGGTTAAGAACGGACCTCCGGAATGAATTAAGTACGTAACCAGAGGTAGCACTGTACTCCTTTAGCGGAGAAGATTGGGACCAGCCAATGTGTGTCCCTTCTCAGTCCACTGTGTAACTGCTAACTGCTGGTGCCTGCCCACCCTCTTACAATTTCTTACTGAATGGCCCTTCATCATCATCATCATCATCATCATCATCATAGTCATCATTTATTTATACACCGCCCATCTGGCTGGGTTTCCCCAGCCACTCTGGGCGGCTTCCAACCAAATATTAAAAACAATACAGCACCAGACATTGAAAACCTCCCTAAACAGGGCTGCCTTCAGTTGTCTTTTCAAAGTAAAATAGTTGTTTATTGCCTTGACATCTGGTGGGAGGGCGTTCCACAGGGCGGGTGTCACTACCAAGAAGGCCCTCTGCCTGGTTTCCTGTAACCTCACTTCTTGCAGCGAGGGAACCGCCAGAAGGCCCTCTGCGCTGGAGCTCAGTGTCCAGGCTGGATGATGTGGATGGAGACGCTCCTTCAGGTATACAGGACCTTCAAACATAGGACTCCTTCTAATGGAGGACTGTCAGCCCTTCAAAAAGAGAACTGTCTATACTAGTGCATGTGGTCACCCTGCACCCATTACCATGACAATATGTGTTTCAGATTCCAATTTTAGATGTAATTACATACTAACTGCTACTGAATTCAGGCCCTATGTGCACTGTACATCTGAAGTAGTAGCATACCACTTTGAACTGCCATGGCTTCCCTCAAAGAATCCTGGAATCTGTAGTTTGTTAAGGGTTCTGAGAGTTGTTAGGGGACCCCTTGCCGTTCCCTGGGAAGAAGGATTGACTGTTAAACTACTCCTAGAACTGTAGCTCTGTGAGGAGGAAAGAGCAGAGTATGCATGCAATCAATAAAAGTTTCCTGAAATGTCCCCTCTAATATTTGTCTTGCTTGGAGTACGTTATGCCTCTATCAGACAAGATGATGAAGGCCTTCACATATCAGGGACGGGAGGCTCTCAAAATTGCCAGACGAGCTGAAGCAAGCGCTGAAAAGAAGCAAAACTCAAGGCTCTGCTTCCCGTCTCTGACATTGGGCAAGGTCGGAATCTGACAAAAAGCATCGCTAGGGCCCTATTATCACCCTGACCTTAAGCTGCAGAATCTTTATGTAATCATCTCAGTGGAGAGCAAGACTGCGAAAAGACTGCGTGCATCGGGCTAAGTGGAGTAGTCTGTGACCCAATGTTTCCAATCAGGATGCATGCTGCACACTTTGTTAGATCCCAGAAGGAATTTGAGCCTCTTTCTGCCCTTCAGATATTTACTCTCCCAGGGTTGTTGCGAGAGGAGAAGTGGAATAAGCCCATGCCCCTTGGTTTTTTTGAAGGAGAGGACCAAATGTGATGGATAAGGACTCCCTTGCCACACATGAACAAACCCAGACACTGTGCTCTAAACTACACTAAATCTGGAACTTACCATTAACCCAAATGGGGTTGGTGGTGGAAGGAAGTACCATAAATAAGCTGGCAGGGCTTTGATTCTGGTGGTTGCTCTGCCATTGAATTTCCCCCTCTTTCTGCTGCTCTGTTAGTCTTTGGGTTGAGACCCTAAAGGTCAAATAACTTACCTTTTTAAAAAGTGTGTTTCTGTGCAGATTTTCTCTGGTCCGAAATTAATTTTGCAAGAGTGGCAGAGTTTTGTTTCTAGAACAGGGATTAAAATCAGAAGGACAGGACTAAGGGCCAAATCAGATGATGCATGTAGTGAAGTCCCACGTTGCTGCTGCTTGAGATTAAATTTGCTAGTGGCAATGGAGAATCAGAATGGGAACTATGCTGTGTGTGTGAAGGATGGGTGAACCTCCTTTCGCCCCATGATGCTGTGTTTACAAAAAGTACCCAACTGAAGCTGCTGTTTCCCCAAGAGGATAGCCCTCATTATTTTGCATTTTTTTAAAAAAAGCAATAGATGAACTACAACTAGAGTTTTGAGGGGAATAATTAAGTTTGACCCTGATGTTGGTGAGAAACTGGCAATGCTTATGTCCTCCCTTCTGCATCTCCGTATCATGCTTCTTTGATACAGATGTGGGTGGCACTATGTTCTAAACCACTGAGTCTCTTGGGCTTGCCAATTGGAAGGTCGACAGTTTGAATCCCCATGATGGGGTGAGCTCCCATTGCTTTGTCCCAGCTCCTGCCAACCTAGCAATTCGAAAGCACGCCAGTGGAAGTAGATAAATAGGTACCACTGTGGCGGGAAGGTAAACGGCATTTCCATGCACTCTGGCTTCCATCACAGTGTTCCGTTGCTCCAGAAGTGGTTTAGTCATGCTGGCCACACGATCCAGAAAGCTGTCTGTGGACAAACATTGGCTCCCTCGGCCTGAAAGCGAGATGAGCGCCGCAAACCCATAGTTACCTTTGACTGGACTTAACTGTCCAGGGTTTTTGGTTTTTTTTACTTCTTTGAGATCTACCATCTGTAAATACACTACATGCTGGCAACTTTTGGGGGTCAGTGGGCACATATGTGAATTTGAGAAAGTGTCATGGGGTGCGGCATAACACAACATGGCTGCCACATCTAAACAAGGCAGGACTACAAAATGGTGTAGACATTGTTCACCATACTCACAGAAAGCAGAAAACAACTCTGTCTCAGATGGGTGGGTGGGCAGGTACCCAATCTGTACATTTACTGAAATATGGACATGTTTGATAAGCCATGCTTAATGTAGAAGAGAAAACAAGGTCTCATGCTTTGTGGATTTTTGCAAGCATATTTGCTTTTGGGAGTGCAATCTTGGGGACTTCTGAAATAAATCAATCAGTGCAAAGACACCGTAAATATTCAGCTGTCTCTTCTGTAAAAGGAAACTCACGTTTTAACAGCAGTTCTTAGTACCCTGCTGCTCAGATGGTGTATGTATGAACAGATCAGTATTATGAACTTAATTTTAAGCACGTGCACATCTCTTGGCCTGTAAAAAGTTGTAGGTTAAGCTTCCATGTATTTACATTTCATACTCAGCCCGCCTCCTCAGGTTAGCATCCCTTCTTCTTTCTTCTCTCCCTGAAAGTATGCAGTGCTTGTTGTCAAAGGAGCCAGGGAATTTGATCCCTTTGGTAGATTTACCTTTGCTTCTTTCTCTAGAAGAATTATACCAGTAAAATTCAGCACCACTGAAGAAACTGGATGAAATGGGTGGCACAGCAGTTGTCAAAAGCTGGCCAAGAGAGCCCTGGGAGGTGGTAGTGGGAATTTGTGTTCACTGCTTGTACAAATTATGTGCCTCCCACAACAAATGTGGGTGCCCGTGGGATCAAATGCATGCTTGTTCTACAAGTCATTGAGATTGTGGCAGCTCAGCGTACATTAATAAAATCAGGACTCTCCATGAATTTTATTTAAGGCTCAGTATAGACATTCCACTCACACAGTCAGGATTTGTTAGCATTTCAGATTCAGGGAACACTGTGCAACTGGTGCTACAAAACCCCTTTTTAAGCCTTAAGCAGCAGAACGAGGCCAGGAGAATTCAGAGGTGGGAGAATAGACTGTGCCATTTCACACCGCATGCAGATGGTGGAACACATTTATGAATGCTCCCTTATGTGAGCAACTCAATGCAAACAGAAAGTTAGCACCGCAGGGGACAGACTGGGCTGCAGAACCTTGTTCCCCAATGGGCTAATTCTTTCATTTATTTATTTTTTAAAAAAACTTTCATAAAGGTTTTTGTGTATGTGTGTGGGTGAGTATTCAAAAAGAATTATTTTCCATAGATAGATAGATAGATAGATAGATAATCTGGAGCGGGGAATGGATCCACAGACAAATGGATTGGATGGTGCGGAAAAAGGTAAAGGTAAAGGGACCCCTGACCATTAGGGCCAGTCGCGGACGACTCTGGGGTTGCAGCGCTCATCTCGCTTTACTGGCCGAGGGAGCCGGCGTTTGTCCGCAGACAGTTTTTCTGGGTCATGTGGCCAGCATGATTAAGCCGCTTCTGGCGAACCAGAGCAGCACACGGAAACGCCGTTTACCTTCCCACTGGAGCGGTACCTATTTATCTACTTGCACTTTGACGTGCTTTCGAACTGCTAGGTGGGCAGAAGCTGGGATTCAGCAACAAGAGCTCACCTCATCACGGGGATTTGAACTGCCAACCTTCTGATCGACAAGCCCAAGGCTCAGTGGTTTAGACCACAGGGCCACAGATAGGGGCTAGCTAATCTCCGAATGACTCCAACTGATTACTATGGACAGGACTGGCTCCATGTTTGAAGGAGACTTCAATGGGTGCTCTCCTGTGTAGATGGATTACCTGTAGCATAGCAGAGTGGTAGGCTGTTTTCTTTAACTGTAAGAAGATGCCAGCTGTCATTCATCATTCCCATGATGATCCACACAGCATGTTTATTTTGGCGCATTGAGGGGAAAACAAAATGGCAGCTGGGACTCGATATTGGTGAGGGCTGGCACACACACTGTCAGGGTGATGTGGCTCCAGCAGCTGCCCAAGGATGCCACGGGCCAAATATGGATCAATGCCTGTAATCTGGAGGACCATTGGGCCAGGGTGTCATAATATGCCCAGTATCCCTGCCTATTCTATGCATCAGGTATGAACAGTGAAAAGACACAGAGGTAAATGCAGTTGCCCATCTTGAAACTTCAGAAACAGGGTTAAAAAACTAGCATGTGTAGGTTGTATGTGTAAGTCCTAGGAAAATAACAGCAAGCTGCATTAAAAGACGTAATGCCACCAATTCAGTGGGTTCTTGGAGATGGCAGGTGCTATGTTGTATGAAATGAACTCCTCCTCCCAGCATGGATGGCTTTACTTGCTTCAATAGATGGGTCCTGACCAGAGGGCATTGGCAATGGGCTGCAGCTACCTATGTGCAGTTTCCCATTCATTCCCAAAAGCTTAGCATAGGGATTGGGTTATGCTCACTGCTTTTAAACGTATAATCAAGTGAGATGCTTGCTACTTTTGAATAGTTTATTTTGACTTTACATGCGGTGTTAAAAACCCAAAAGGACGTATTATTTACACATCCACAATACAAGTTTACAAGATATCTATACATGTTAAAGTACTCTATAGACCATATAGAGCAGCTTTCATTTTTTTTAGGGTTACTTTTATAAGCTGTACCATTAAAAAAGATACAATCTGCATTTACCTTTGCACAAATGGATAAAGCATGTTTTTTATTTATTTTTTAATTAAAAAAAACAAACCCCAACCCAAAGCCCAACAAAAATTATAAATTAACAGAATAAAGACTATGTTGAATGTTAAAAAGATTTCAACATAAATACTGAGCGAACTCACATTACCATCTAACAAGGCAGCACAATGTTACAGAAAGTTATTTGGGTTCACATAACATTTATGTTTCCGTTTCACACAAGTATGTATTATTCATTACTATTTGTAAAGTGAAGTCAATTCTTTTTTTTTGTCATTTGAGTCTCATTTTAAAATTATTAGTTGCAAGAGTGAAAATATTTTTAGGTGGGGGGGAAACGATCCTAAGTATTTTTGGAGGGGGAAGTAAAGGTCTTCAATGGTCAACATACAAAATGGAAAAGGGAGAATAATTCTATATATTAAGGAACAAGGTTCCCTTTTATTTGAGACAGAGAGAGACGGAGATCTTTTCTTTCCCCCCTTAACATGAAATAGAAGCCAGTGTTTTGGATGGAAGGTACTTGTCCTATCAGCTCACGACTATCCCCCTGTGTGGGGCTATACGCTGATGGCAACGTTCAGCAAACAAGTACTAGGGCATCATTTGCAAGCTAAGATCACCATCTGTGATGAACATCAGCTGCAAACACGTACCATAGCAGCCCAATAAGAAGCGTGCTCAGCTTTAGCAGGTGTTCCATTACCCCAGAAACCTCATATGATTTCACATTATAACTGTTTGATCCTTAAGCTAGTTAGGGGTGGGATGTTTAGCGCGAAAAAGGTTGATTTAATGCTGCTGTCTCCTCAGCTTAGAGGCTGCCTTTTCATTGCTAATTAATTGTTCTTGTGGGGATATCCCCCCCTCTTTCTTTCATCTTTTCGGATACTGTTGAGAGAACTTACAGCTGGCATGTGGGGAATTGTGATGTGCTGTTACCGAGGACACTTGACAGGGGTTTAGTGTAGGGTTTTCTTTTAAAAAAGGAAAGAAAATCCTTTTCATGAATAAGGCACAAAATGCACAGATCCAGGTAAACACACAGAATATTTACAGAATATTGTCATTACCGGCATGACTATGGAGAAACCACAAGCTAAACAAATTGATTGCACTACTGTCAAATTTTTCTTGGGCGGATCCTGCCAAGCCTTACTGATGTATCTTCATTTCTGTTGGAAAGGGCTAGAAAATAATATTAATAATGTGAACATCTTATTCCACATTTCTCTTCTGTCTTTTCTTTTGTAGAAAAGGGACATGGCTCACATATGCCTCACACGTAAACATCTCAGAGTGAGGAGGGCCACGCTATGATGGTGTAAACCAGCCTTCCTCCACCTGGTGCTCTCCAGATGTTCTGGTCTGCAAGTCCCATCAGCCCCAGCCAGCACGGCTGTGTTGTCCTCCAAAACATCCAGAGGACACCAGCGTAGGAGAGGCTGGTGTAAGCACTTGCCATGGATGCAGGGAGCAGTAGTTCCTCTTATCCCACACTGGGCTAAGCAAATATACAAGCCATAGGTTTGCTCCTCAATTCCTTGTTCGCTAAATACAGGTGGGTACATGAACAGCCCTGGCTTGTTGGGGGCTAATGAAGCAATTCTTTGCATCTGGAAAATATTTCCTTTTTTCTCTTAGGGTCTTTTCTACTTGGGAATGTCGCGTTTCCCCCTTTCGTTGCCCTTCTCATTCCCCCTGCCTTTCTTTATTTTGTCTCGGTTTGGGGGAAGGCGGTGTTTAAAAACAAACAAATGAACTGCTTTTTGAACCAGGGAGTCTGACCATAATGGAAACTTTGTTCTGGATGAAGAACACTTAGAAGTTCTAAAGTTTGCATTCAGGTTGGGAAGTCAGGTGGACTGAAAGACCAGCTGAGCACTGGAGATGGGGGAGAAATCAATTTGGTTCACATTTTCATGTTAACCTACCTTAATTTGTGCTTCCCAAAGCACCATGCAAGACCTTTGGAATTTGCATTTCTCTGAAGTAAAAATTTCCAAACTGCTGCAGAAATTGGGCAAACTGAATATCAGAAAAACGAGAAACCAAAATGGACTGATCTAACCATCCCTACTGCCGTGGACCTCTATTAATGCTACACTTGGAATTTAGACATCTGACTCTATAGCAGCATAATTTAGAATGAGCACATTTGCACCATTTCACATAGTAACTAGTTCTGCCCAGGGCAGAAATCTGACAGCAGAAAGCTTCCCACATGAGATCTGCTGTACACCTCATGCAATCCAAAATAATCTGAACCAGAGCCATCTGTCTGTTTAGTCAAACTCATATGTAAACGTTTCTGTAACTTAAAAGATGCAATGAGATTGAATACCTCCTAGCTTTGTGCGCACACACACCCTCACACCCTCACACACAAACACCTTTATTCTCATCATAAACAAAAATGTCATCCTTTGGAGGAAAAGAAAAATGCTACAGTTGGACTAGAGACCAAAGTTCAGCAAGTTGCTTATTAACCAACATACTTGTTGAGACATTATCATTTGCTGACATTTGTGCAAGAGGCAAGGCAAATGCATACATATTAAAATGTTCACATTTCATGGGAAGACTACACATTATGGCAGTCTAAAAATGAACCCCATTTTATTGTTATCGTTATTATTATTATTATTATCTTCAAGTATTTTTGCTCGCAGATCTTTTTCCCCTCCCCCTTTCCTCCCCAAGTACTTTTGCTCAGGTAGTTCCCCCTCCCATTGTGCTACATGTCTCCTCTGCTCCAAACAAAAGAAATGTGAAGGGCCAGCACCTTCCTTTGTTATAATCTGTTGAGCAAGCTGAGCCTTGCTTTAAGCCAGGTGTGTGGCAAAAGCCCACATGTTGCTGGAGTAAGAACAGGTTCTTTGGCGGCTTGTTCATTCTCTCTCTCTCCGTGTGTGTGTGTGTTTCTCATGACAAGCGAGTCACTGTCTTATTGTCTGTCCTGCAACATCATCCCACACCCCTTGACAGAATACGCAAGTCTCAGTAGCTGTATTTGTTCAGTGGTCTGACTGAAGGCGTCTGGGGAGCGAACGAGGGTTTGGGCGGCACGTCTGGTTTGAGGGAGGGCGTCCTCTTTATCCCTGTCCGAGGGAGCGTTCCATTGCTCGTGTAACTGCTTTGCCTAGACAAGGAAGGCTGTAAATGGACACTCACTGGTGCCCCTTGCATGTAGTCCATCTTTGAGCCTCCTCCGGGAGGTATGTATCCCCCGCGGTTAATACTAGGCTGCCGCGACAGCAGCACGCCATTGGGCGAGTTTAAGTTTTTAGGGAGGGCTGATATAGAATGCCGCTGCGATGAATTTTTGTGGTAGCCCCTCTGTCTTTCCAAAGAGGTCATGGGTACTGCCGGCGTGGTAGGGACGTCCACCCGTTTCGTCGGACTGTTTCGCGGAAGGGTGGATGGAGGAGAATACAAAGAGGCTTCCCTGTTGGGAACTTTAGGCGGGATCTCAGTCATGTTTCCCATGGGATCCAGCATTAAAGTTTGGTGAGCCACCTGGAGGTCTCCCATAATGGCTTTGGGGTTGCTAGGCATTTCGTTCAAATGTTTCAGGAAATCGTTCAAGGTGTTCCTGGAATCCACAGACCTCCTGTGGTCTCTCTTGCCCGATGACTTTGTGTGCGGGTGGTCCATGTTCTGCATCTTCTTGTCTGCTTTGTGTGCGTTGGAATTTGAGAAGGACATGTTGTAGTCGTGGGTGGCGTTTGGAAGAACAATAGCGCTGGGGATGTGTCCGTGACTTAGAGGAGAATGAGGTGGAGGACTGGATGGGAAAAACTGAGGGCTCTTCAGAGGAGTTTCTTTTCTAGAAGCACTGAGGTTGTTCTGCGCTTTGTCCATCTGACTTTTCATAGACTGCAAAGTCTTTTGCTGCAGCACCGGCGTGGATTCTGGTGTTGGAAGAGCTGCCAGTTCTGGCGGCTGGCCTCTATGGTCCACCATCATCATGGACTTTGTGTCGGCGGTTGGTGGCATCTCTTTTCTGCTTGTTAACAAGTTTGAATACAGCTTGGGAGAATCGATATTCTGTTGATACTCCTTGACTGGGCTATCGAAGAGGCCGTTCAGCTTGGCGAAACTCCCGCTCGAGTCCGTACAGGACTGAGCTGACTCTGCGTCTTTGTGTATCTTCCTGGACTTTCTCACAAACATATCCCGGTAACAGTAAACAGCCACGCCTGCAATAAAGGCTCCCAGCAGAAAGGCAGCAAAGACGCATGTGATCAGGACATTCATGTGCACCATTTGATTAGAATCTCCTGACTGGACTTCCCACCTGACACCTACAACAAACACATGTGGTATGGAGAGATTAGAGCGTGTTTTATTCTGCATGACCGTAAAACAAAGCTTGCTTATCTTAAGCTGCAGTACTAACCAGACATAACAGAAACCTAGCACCACTGCACTTGAGAGAGAGAGAGATTTGCACAGTAGGGGTAGGAATCACAAGTCTTCTGACATGGATATCCTCCTCAGGGAGTCATTAGTGGTGTATATATACATATACCAACAGATGTTTTTAAGTGCTAAGTGGTTTCTGATGTATCTAATTCAGGTGGAGACTAAAAACATAGCGGGCACAATCCAGCACAATTTCTATTTATTTTAATGGGAGAAAGTTGAAGCACGTTCATAACTCTCACATTAACCCTAACCTTAACCCCTAATCCTAACTTGAAATTGCTTGAAGTTGGCGTGATTGCACCCCATGTACGAAACAGTCCTCACTGAAATCTGAACATGTTTAGAGTTGGTCTCCACCATAATTTATCCTACATTTGATGTGTTATATTTTCCCCAATTTACACCACCAGCATCATGCATATACATTAATATGCAACATCTCTGCGATAATATGGATGTCTAATCCATTTGTCCATCATTTCAATCCAATGAAAGCGCTCCAGTTGTCCAGTTTGGTGGAGTTACAGTTTGGTGGAGCAACCCCACAACACGGATACAGCCCCCCTCCAATTTTGGAGATTTTGCCCTTCATTCTTTGCCCCCTGTGCCCAGATAAATATTTCTGCTGGCTCAGGAGGCTGTCGTGCCATTATCCTGGGCTGTCTGATCAGAAGGATGTGAAATGATTGCATGGGCTTGCTGTAGCACTGTGCTGCAGTTTGGTCTTTCCAGTCATCCTTTCTGGGCCCCTTGCTCTTAGCTAACTTATCAAAGCTGACCACAGGCATCAAGCAGGGCATGGCTGTTGGAGGAACCATGCTGACCAGTTCACGTTGCCCTCTTAATAGGGGTGTTGTTCTACAGTTGCACCCCTCCCTGACGCCTGCTTGGCTCTTGGGATCAGGGGCCCTCCAGATGTTGTTGGACTCCCAACTATCATCAGCACCAGCCAGCATGGCCAACAAACAGGAATGATGGGAGTTGTAGTCCAACATCTGGAGGGCCACATGGTCTCCACCTCTGCTCTGGATCTTATAGCTATTACAGGCACCTGCAGAGACCTGGTCAAGCTCTTACTTAGGTCTATCTATACTTCTGATAGGAGAGAGTGCACTGATGTTGCCTACTCGTCCTTATAGCAGTGCCATGCTTTTCCTTGCTCCAGAAACCAAGGAAACTACAATATCAGCAGCTGTTTGCCTTCCTTGTTCTGTCTGGCAGCTGGTTTTTATTTTATTTATGAAAGTATTCACGACCTGCCCTCTATCAAATTGATCTCAGGGCAGAGTATAAGAAGATATTTTAAACCACTGTTCAGTTAATAAGACAAAACAATGAACAATAAGCTTTAAAAAAAACCTCACAGGGTGGCTTATTGTTACACAGCAGAGTTAACAATTCCTAAATGACTGAGAAAATAGCCAACCTCTCTGCTACGTTGCCTTCCCAACTGCAGGCAAGAAGAGCCACCACAAGAGAGAAAAGGGAATGCTACCAGTTTGGAGAGGTCATTTTCTTTTGCAAATGGAAGCAAATCATAGCTATGGGGGTAAGCAGACAGCAGATCTACCTCTCTGCAGGCCAGGAAAGCTAGAAGGAAGGCTCTCTTTCCATGGCTGCCTTTAATGGCTGTCAGTTCTAGATGCCATCACAAGCATAAGGAGACTTCCCTTGACAGGCTGGCAATCTCTGACCTGCACCTCTGTGTCTATTAATCTGGAGAACTGGACTATATGAGTAGCATTACTACACTCTGCCAATCCAAATGCACACACTCTGTCCTGAAATATCCTTTTAAGACTCACAAATAGTAGCTGGTGTGGTATTAACATTAACGATTTCTGCTAGAAAATTGAGGTTAGAAGGTGCTACACTGCCAAGCTGCAATTAATAACTCATGGAAGGATTTCTCTTTCAATTTCCTGCCCGACTCATGAATCAGAATCAAAAGTGAGATAGGATTATGCAAATATTGTGCAAAACTCTATAATGTGCAGATTTGCATTGTTAGAACTATGCTAATATTTTTACCCCCCTCCAAAAGCTTTCTCACTTTGCTATTTTGGAAGTGGTATTTTCTGCAGCTTAAAAAAAGAAGTCAAGATTACCCATGCATTTTAAGGCCTAGACTTCAGTGAGTAATGAACTTTTGGAACAGAGCATCATTTAAAAACCATCCGGCTAATGAGAGGTATTAGTAGTTTTCATACTATAGAATGCATTAAATTTTGTACTAGAAGATCAAACAATAGTATTAAAAAAGGGAAAAAATCAAACTCGCACGTTAATATCAGAGCTTGCAGGTTTTTGTTTTTATTTAAAGCAACCACAGACATTGCACCGTTAAGAAAATGTTAGTTTGGCAGAATGCACCTAATTGTGTTATTCGGCACAGTGGGAAAGTTAAAACAAAGAAGAGTGTTACGTGTGGTTTGTGTGTGTGTTGAGAGGCGAGGCCTTTGAAGAGAGTTGAAAGGTTCAGGGTTATTGGTTTTAATGGCATTGTGCAGAAGAGGGAAAAGGAGGGGAAAGGCTGAGAAAGGCTTACTACAGAAAACGCTACCGAGCGTGACTGAGAGAGCGCGTGAGCAAATCCTGGCAAAAGCAGACTCGTTTTAAAGGACAACCAAGCGATAAGAAACACCTGAAGCAAATTACGAATGCGCTGCCACAATGGCCAAAAGGAAACCTGATACGTTTCGCTGAATACTTGAATGTGAAAGGTTTGCTTGAGAACTTACGACTTATTTTTTCTTTTTTTGAGAAAAGAAAAGACAGAATCATGCAGATATGTGCCATTTACTAAGAGGTGTCCAGTTTGGGTATCCAGATAACAGAGGATGAGCCAGTTTGGATGAGAAGATAAGGGGCCTGTTCAGACGTGAAGCCCCCCCACTCTCTCTCATTTATTTTTCAGTTGTGAGGATGAAATGGGCTATTCCATTTTTATCTTCACAACAATCCTATGTCCTGGATTAGGCAGAGAGAGAGAGAGCGAGCATCACTCAAAGGACTCAATAATCCAGCGTGCTTTGAATGGAGGCCTCTCCAATCTGTGTCCAACTGACACCTCATAATGCAGAAGCTGCTATTTGCAGGGATTTTCCCCTCCCCAACTTCCTCATGGATACACAGATCAAACAGTCACAGTATATACACCGGCTGCCTGATCTATGTACCTACGGTCAACCAGGCAGCACCACACTGCCCTTTATGGAATACATGATTCTTCTTACATGGCGATTAACCCACTGTTTGTGATGATGTTAACATGTGGAGTTGTTCTTAGCGGGAGAGATTTAGGAAACTCAAACTCCCACAGTTTTGAGGTGTATCTCACAGAAAGACACCTTAGCGCTGATAAAGGATGCAGCAATTGGGAGGAAGCTGGTGCTGCAAGAGTTTTTTGAGAGTCTTTTGTTAAAAGCCAGAATGATCTCGTTTCTGCTGTGGTGGATTGATGCGGTTACTCCGTGCAAAGGCTTTTTGCAAAGCTATGCTGCGGCGAGCCTTATGCGAGAGAGTAAAACTTTGACATTGTGGGCCAGCCAGAAGGAATATCGCAGACCCATAACAAAGTACACAAAAGGCAGTGTGGTGCAGGAGGATGCTTTTCCGGGAGTAAGCTCCATTGAACTCAATGGGATTTGATGCTCAGCTGACGTGCGCTGTTGAGCATGCATTAAATGCGTATGCAAAACAAAATTTGACGGGGAGGGGAGAATAACAGGATGAGCAGGTGTTTGTTGAACAGTGATGCAAACTCTGTGTTGCTGCTCATCTTGTTTCCCAAATCCCCCCTCCTCCCTGCTCTCTTGGCCCAAAAGAGAGAGGCGACACGATCGCACCTTTTTATTACATACACAGGCTGATATTGCATGCACATTTTGATAAGAACAAGCGTTTGAATTTGAAACTGCTGAAGCTATCAGGTTTCCTTTCAACCGTAATAAAACCCCTGGTTAGGCCTTACCCTTCGGGACCCCTGATAATGAATCAGAGTAATCAGAGGTGTTTGGGTCATCTTGGGCTACAAATTTCCGGGAGCCAGTCACTTTAGGTTTCCAGGAACCAATCACTTTGGGTGAGAAAACGGGGATACTTTCCACTGTGGTAACAGAAGTTGAGGGTAACGCCATGTCTGTGGTGGCAAACAGATTTTGCTTTTATTAATGTGCATTGCAGTCAGGTTCCTGCCCCCCACTCTACGGTGTGTGTGTGTTTCTTTTTTTATATGAAACCCTCAACAGTTAGTGACTTTGCACGATGACTGCTAAATTGTATTTGGAAAATAGGCTTAATAGGAGTTGCACGGGGAACAACAGCATTATACTGTGACTTGCTCTTTAAAATCAGATTTAAAGTCAGGGGCAGGAAATGTATTGCGAATTATTGCCATTATTCAATGACTGTGGTGCTTAAATAAAATCAGTAAGGAAGATGGAAAATGGAGGGGGGGTGGGAAGCAGACTTTAGGAATGGAGGAAGCTGCCTTATTCTATGTCAGGCTGGGTTTCTGATATATTTCCTGTCAATTTATTATTATCACATTTATATACTGCCTTTCATCCGAAGATCACAGGACAGGTTACAGTATAAAAACATGTAACATAGTAAAAAATAAAATCATAACCTCCCCCTGCCTCCCCCCAAGTTTAAAAGGTCATCGATTGTTTCATTAGCCAAATGCCTGGGTTAAAAGGAATTTTTTGCCTGGCGCCTAAAGATATGTAACGAAGGCACCAGGCAAGCTTCCCTGGGGGGGAGAGCATTCCACATTTGGGGAGCCACCACAGAAAAGGCATTTGAAGAGCTAATCCCCTTTCCCTAACACATTTATGATGAGGGGATTCATTGTAAACTGAGTGTCTTGCTTTGCATCCTGCTGGTGGAATCAATTTCACAAAACAAAGCTCTGCATAGATTTATATGGGCTGCCCTTGAGACTGACCCAGAAACTCCAGCGGGTGCAGAATGCCGCAGCGAGACTCCTTACGGGGTCCTCGCTGCGAGATCACATTCACCCGGTGCTATACCAGCTGCACTGGCTCCCGGTGGCGTACAGGATCAGGTTTAAGGTGCTGGTTTTAACCTTTAAAGCCCTATACGGCCTAGGACCCTTGTACCTATGGGACCGCCTCTCCTGGTATGTCCCACAGAGGAACTTATGATCTTCAAACAAAAACATCTTGGAGGTCCCAGGCCACAGGGCGGTTAAAGCCAGGGCTTTTTTGGCTGTGGCTCCGATCTGGTGGAACGCTCTGTCACAAGAGACTAGAGCCCTGCGGGACTTGACATCTTTCCGCAGGGCCTGCAAGACAGAGCTGTTCCGCCAAGCCTTTGGCCAGGGCACAGCCTGACTCCCTCCTTTGGTAATTCTTCACAGAACTCTAGCCCAATGGTTGCCATCAATTTGATTTGAAGTAATTTTTTAATGAAATTATTTTAGAGTGTTGTATTATTTTATTGTTGTTAGCCACCCTGAGACCAGCCTCGGCTGGGGAGGGCGGGCTATAAATAAAAATTTATTATTCTTATTCTTATTCTTATATACTATGCACACAATCCTCTGGGTGCAGAATTGAGACAAGACAGTACAGAATGCTTGTAATACTTTTATTGCGACTTTATTTCCCATACTTCTCTGTGTGTGTTTAAGACATTTTGACTAGAAACAATATATGTATAGAGAGGTAAGGAGCTCACAGACTTAAGAGTCATGCTGACTGAGCAAAGGTCTCACTGAGATATCCTCCCAGACCTTCTAGAGTGTGTAACATTTAGTGTTATGGCATTAATGAGGTCTAGCCTCTTGCAGTGCCAACAGGGCCTCTTCTAATGGGCCTTGGGAAGAATATGGCAGGTGTGGGTGTTTTGGATGTCTCAATCTCACTTGTAAAAAGGAAAAGGAAAAAAGGATTGTGCCTTGAGCTACAGCAATAACAGCTACTGTATAGCTATGGTGGATTCATAGGAATGGGTGTGAGCCTTTATCAGAAACGGCAAGGAAGCTTTCAGGCAATCAGGTCTGTAATCATGAGGGCCAGGAGCTTGATATAACTGGACAAAAGCAAAACTTGGAATTCATAGCATTCTATAGCTCATATGCCACAATTCATGTTGACATCAGGGGTGGTGTCAATTTCTAAACCTCCTGTGCATATCTGCAGTGGAAAGCTTTGGGTGAATGTGACTTACAAATCCCTATTAATCGACAGTGTGGAATCAAGTGCATCATGTCAACATTTAAAAGTAAACCTGATTTTTTTTTCATCCATTCATGCACAGGCAGAAAGGGCATATTTTTCACACAAGGGAACTGCGACTTTCCTCCCTCCCCACCAGAATTAGTTCTTGGACAAACAAAATCCATCAAACGCCATTCTTGTTTCATTACAGAAGTGCAAATAGCATCAAAGAATCGTCTGCTGTCAAACTTCCAGAAGCATTAAAAAGCATGTGGAAAAAAATTGTAATTGGCAGATAGAATTAAGGAAACATCAGAGGAGCGTACTCTGTACTGGATTGTGCTCTCATTGAAGTCCAACGTGGAATTTTGCCTTTTGAATTAAAGAAAAAAGCAGCAGTCTAACCATTTAGGAGGAATTTGGGATGGAAATGCTAAAAAAAACAAAAAACCACCACCAGAAGGGAACTGATGCCCCTGTTGAAAACAGGGCTTCAAAACTTCTATTGGGAACAGATAAAAGAAAGTACAGTGGTACCTCGGGTTACATACGCTTCAGGTTACAGACTCCGCTAACCCAGAAATAGTACCTCGGGTTAAGAACTTTGCTTCAGGATGAGAACAGAAATCGTGCTCCGGCGGCGCAGCGGCAGCAGGAGGCCCCATTAGCTAAAGTGGTGCTTCAGCTAAGTTTCAGGCTAAGAACAGACCTCCAGAACGAATTAAGTACTTAACCCGAGGTACCACTGTACTACTTCACGCAGCACAAAGTTAAACTGTGGAACTCCCTCCCACAGGAGACAGAGATTTCTTCCAACTTGGATGGCTTTAAAAGAGGATTAAATGAGTTCATGATTAGGTTATCAATGGCTACTAGCTATGCTTGACTTCACAGCTGGATGCAGTAATACTTCCGATTATCAGTTGCTGTAAACTGCAGGAGGGGAAAGTGTGCTTGGGCTCTGCTTGCAGGTTTGCCACAAACACCTTGGTTGGCCACTGGTCTGATCCAGCACACTCTTCTTAGGTTCATATTCTGACACCTGCCTCCTTGATCATTTCCCTCCTGTGCTGCTCAGGAATTCTGGGAAACCAAAGCACTGGCGCAGCTCTGAAAGGTTCAGTCTGCCATCTTGATTCAAAATGGTGTCCCATTGTATCCAAACATGGACAAGACCCCTGCTCCCAGGAACCTTTCAAATCACAGAATTGTAGAGTTGGAAGGGGACTCTGGTGATCATCTGGTTCCAACTCCCTGCAAGGCTTGTCCTGCCTTTTGCCCCACCCTTAAATTATCAAAAGCAAGTTGCATAATTTGGTTACAAGGTCTTAAGTCCAAATGCATCGTGAACAGACATGGCAACAACCCTTCAAACCTATACAACCTACCAATTGTAAGGGCCCGGTCTTGCTTGAGAATTCTCAGAAACAAATTATTATTATTATTATTATTTATTAATACTGAGATTATAAATGGGTAATGCACTCTGTCAGTTTCTAGGGCTGTGTGTGCCCTTCCCTGCCCCAACCCAGGCAACGATAAACCAGAATCTGGCCTTGGGAGTTGTGCTAATTAAGGCTTTTAAAGTCCAACATAGTTGGGAACAGCAAGGCAATGCTAAGTCTCTTCTCCTTCTGGGGACAAGAACACACAGTCAAAGCACAGTGCAGGGCTGTTTGAAAGCTCTTTTACAAACAGTCCTGCAACTGCTCTTTGCATCTCAGGCACCATCATGCAAAATCTGGTGACCCTATCTTAAGAGGCGTCCAAAATGTTGCAGTCCAGCATCTTGATGTAAAGCGGTGTCACAACAGTAGCCAAACACAGATGGGAAACCAGCTCCTCTATCTTGGGAATCATTGTGTTAAGTTTGGCAGCGATATCTCAAGAGGTGTCTGAATGCATAGCGAGTGGACAGACAGACAGGTGGACAGACAAACCACAACTCAGCTATATCAGGTATAAGAGCTAATGATGATGATAATACATAATACCTCCACATACAGAGACAGTGGGCAGCTAGCTAACCTTGGTGGGAAACTGAATGTTTCCTGGATCAGACCAAACACTGTTCCCATAGTGGCCAACCAGATGTCTATGAGAAGCCAAAGTAGGAAAAGTGCTGTTCCTCTACCACTTGTGTCCTCCAACAACTTCTATTCAGAGATGTATTGCCTCTAATCCATACAATATAGCCATTATGATTAGTAGCCATTAATCCTCTCAGCCTCCATGGATTTGTCAAATTTGCTCTTAGAGCTGCCCAAGGTGGCAACTATGCGGTGTGAAGAAATGTTCTGAATATTCTACCACACCATTGGATGGTCTTGAGTTCTAGTATTTATTTGTCATAGTTTTACATATATCGCTCTATGCATACCTCAAAGTGGTCTCCATTAAAATATTGACTTTATTATTAATGTATAACACATATATTATAATATTTTGAGAGCGGAAGAAAAACTTCCCCTTCTACATTTTCTCCATAGTCTGGTCATATTACCCCTCTCACTCAGTGTAAGCTGCAACCTTTCTTTCAGCCCCCAAATGATAATCTGGGTTGCACCTTTTCCAGCTCTACAATATCCTTCCTGAGGTGTGGCAACCAGAACTGAACCAAAACCTTAAAATCCCTAAATGGCCTCAATCCAGTATACCTGAAGGAGCGTCTCTATCCCCATCGTTCTGCCCAGACACTGAGGTCCAGCGCCGAGGGCCTTCTGGTGGTTCCCTTGCTACGAGAAGCCAAGTTACAGGGAACCAGGCAGAGGGCCTTCTAGGTAGTGGCACCCGCCCTGTGGAACACCCTCCCACCAGATGTCAAAGGGAAAATAACTGCCAAACATCTGAAGGCCGCCCTGTTTAGGAAAGCTTTTAATGTTTAATAGGTTATTGTATTTTAGTGTTCTGTTGGAAGCCACCCAGAGTAGCTGGGGAAACCCAGCCAGATGGGCGGGGCATAAATAATAAATAATTATTATTATTATTATTATTATTATTATTATTATTATTATTATTATTATTATTTATTATTAAACTGTGGCCACACCATAGTAAATTACAATGTGCAAAAGGCATTGTAATATTAGCAGTTTTATCTTTGATCCCTTTCCTAATGATCCAGGCAAGGAAATTCTTTTTATTATTATTCAGTTTTTAATTCTAAGTTTGCATATCTAACTGTGCGGTATATTACAACCACTTTCCTTACTGTTGTTACTTTTCCTATTCAGGTAAGATGCTGAGATTTCAGTAATGGCACACAAAATCCCAGACCACCGATTTTTGGAACTGAACTCTATGTTTCAGTACCTAAACCAAGACACCTCTTGGAAAGCTATTGTATAATTTCTCTTGCCGCATGAGAGCTGAGGGATCAGAGTTTAGGAGGGGGGAAAGCCATATGTAGGCAATTGAAATAGTATTGCAGACATGAAAAGCCTATTGTAAGTTTGCCTGTTGTTTGGAGAATGGTTGGGTTTCCTCTGTAAAGGAAGCACAAAGACAAGTCCTGTGATGCAAGCGATGGGGAAAAAACCCCCATCCTTCTCACTCTTACCAACAGCTTATTAAAGGCAAAGCCGTCCCCTCATTTGCTCTGTAATTTTTCTGGAAGAAGCACATAAAACTTGAAGCGATCTGATGCTAAATGCCACCTATTAGTGGATATGATGCTATTAGCACAAATGCATTTCTGAAAACCTTTGAAGATATCAACACATTTCCAACATTTCAGAAATACACATTTCAGGGGGGGGAAATGTGCATTTGCTTTTTATAAATAGCCGGGACGACACAGGAGGAGGAGGAAAGGGAGGAGATGAAGTGGACCAGGCATCTAACTGCTAGGGTAGCGTTCATGAAGACATGGTTGAGTGGAGGGGGAAAGAGTAGAAGCTTAGCGGGCATTTCGTGCAGTGAGAATGTCATCTATGTTAATCAGGCTCTTTCACTTAATAAAAGATGTGTCTCAATTAACAATGAGCTCTTAAGCATGCAGATACACAAGGTGGAAAGTGTTAAGTGAGAGAAAGTCTTGGCTGTTCCTTGACCATCAGAAGAGAGATGAGTAAAAGCAGAAAAGCAAAAAATATGGAGGTCTTGCCAACTGCACCAAAGGAAAGAAAAAGGGAGGAGGAAAAGAAAAGTAAAAAAGAAAAGGGGGACGAGGCTGTCTGAAAATGCTGAACTGAAGGAAAGAAAAGTTCCATTAACTGGGGGGAGGAGAAAAAAATGATTGAAAAAAACTAACCAGATGTTGGATCGCCAAATATTTTGTAATCTGGTGTAGTTGTAGTAGGCAAAATTTCTAAAAGAATTAAAGGAACACGTAATCAGTGTAAAGTAACCGAAAGGAAAAGCAAAATAGATTTCCAAAGCTGAAAATCAGAAAACAAAACACAATAGGTTCACCCAAAAGGAAGAAAAAAAAAAGGAAAAGGGGAGGGGAATACCTGTTTTAATAAGTTGACATCTAGACCTTCATGAACAATACATGAAGGCTGGGAGAAAAATGGCCAAGGGAGGGGGGGGGTTCCACCACCCAAGATCAAGTGGCTTAGGTTTGTGCTAAATGGTTTACAAGGGGGCGGGGTGCTCCGTGCCATTTTTGTGTGACATCCACACCGACAAGAGTGTGGCCCGCAAACCAAACCATGCCACATTTTCAAGTTGGCCCTGGGACTTGTGCTTACCGTGGCAATCCCCGAGTTGTGCGGTGTTGCCATATTCCACATCTTGCTCATATCCTCCAACGCTGTGGTTGTATGAAACAAACAAAGATAACCTGCAATTAACAGCATTAGTTGGGGAAGAAACCAATGGCCACCGTCATTCTCAAAAGAAACACAAAAGCCGCAAAACATGTTCATTCAGCATTTGCTAAGCAGCAGTTCTCAACCTGTGGGTCCCCAGATGTTGTTGGACTACAACTCCCATCATCCCTGAGCTCTGGCCTTGCTAGCTAGGGGTGATGGGAGTTGTAGTCCAACAACATCTGGGAACCCACAGGTTGAGAAAGGCTGCTGCTAAGGGGAGCTGGGCGCTGGATATACAATGAAGGGAAGAGATTTCGTCTTCAGTGACCTCTACTTGGAATCTCAACCATTTAATGGCTATGCCTTCTTCACAATAATCCTTGCAACTTCAAGCGGGTTAAATAGCCACGGCCAAATAATACCCAACCCACAGGGAAGATTTCCTACACAGGCCCCAGTGAAATGAACGGGAAGCAGAGATTACTACGACCACGTGGTGTTGTATCTGCTTACGACAGGCATAGGCAAACTTGGCCCTCCAGATGTATGGGACTACAATTCTCATCATCCCTGACCACTGACTGGTCCTGTTAGCTAGGGATGATGGGAGTTGTAGTCCCAAAACATCTGGAAGGCCAAGTTTGCCTATGCCTGGCTTATGACTTCTTTTCATCCCAAAGGGTCTTGCTCAGGAGAACTTAACACTATGCCTCCCAAATTATCTAACGACAGAGCTGTCCAACACAATCTGACCCATAGTTCCCTGCCCTGTTTTCCCTGGCAACAAGGCACCAGAAAACCTTTTATACTTTTACTAGCTCCTCTGATCACTGTATTGGGGAGTGGAAATGTAGGCCACGTTGGACAAATATCATGTCCAGATTCAGAGGCAGTATGGCTATGAATTATCAGTTGCTGGGTTATTGCAATGTGAGGTCTATTGCCACCACCCTGCCACTCATGTCCTGCTTCCGGAGACATTAGGTTGGCTTCTGTGTCAAACGGGATACTGGTAACCCTTTGGTCTGATCTAGCAGGGCTCTCCTAATGTTCCTACGCTCATACAACCCTGATTCCCCAGTGAGAAATGTCCACAACTGTGCTGTCATCACTGAGATGGTCCTGTACCTCGTACCACCCCATCAGATATTAGTTAATGATGGGCCACAGAGCAAAGTTAACTTTTATTTGTCCAGCTGGTTCAAATGGGTGAAAACAGCCCTTCAGACAACCTGGTCCCAGATGGTTTAAAGCTTCACAAGATTATTAACCCCTCTATAAATTGAGCCCAGAAACGACCGTATTTTTCGCTCTATAAGACGCACCAGACCACAAGACGCACCTAGTTTTTGAAGGAGAAAAACAAGAAAAAAAATATTCTGAATCTCAGAAGCCAGAACAGCAAGACAGATCACTGCGCAGTGAAAGCAGCAATCCCTCTTGCTGTTCTGGCTCCTGGGATAGCTGCTCAGCCTGCATTCGCTCCATAAGATGCACACACATTTCCCCTTACTTTTTAGGAGGGAAAAAGTGAGTCTTATAGAGCAAAAAATACAGCAGTTGGTAGTTAAGATGATTTTATGAGGTCCGTTCTGCACATCTCAAGCAATGACTTTCTGTTTCAAGAACACCTGACCCATGCTGCATATTAAAACCTATTTAAAGGTGCTGGCGTTGACTAACACAATGCCGTTTATTTATTAAAAATCCTGCTACTTACAACATGCTTGATTTCACTCTTCCGCAGGTCCCATGGTTCAGCCAGCCACAGTAAGGATCTCGAGACGCAATGCAAGACCTGCGGCGAGAGGAAATTAACCTTTTTTACTGCCTCCTAACCTTGGTGCACTCCATTGTATAGACATGTTTGGACAGAGAGGGCTTACTTTTTGCATGACCCGTGACGCTCGCAACGGCTGAGTGGAATTCTAATGACACAGCTGGAGAATGCAACAAATAAGGCATGGTGCTCTTTGTCCAGTTGCAGGGAGATGACCTTCTTGTCCTCTTCACCATCCCCATTACACCTGTTCAATTACACAATTACACGCTGTTATTTCTTTTGACCCCCTTTATATAATAATTTATATAATAATAATTTATTATTTATACCCCGCCCATCTGTTTGGGTTTCCCCAGCCACTTTGGGCGGCTTCCAACAAAACACTAAAATACAATAACTTATTAAACATTAAAAGCTTCCCTAAACAGGACTGCCTTTAGATGTCTTCTAAAAGTTTGGTAGTTATTTTTCTCTTTGACATCTGGTGGGAGGGCGTTCTACAGGGCGGGTGCCACTACTGAGAAGGCCCTCTGCCTGGTTCCCTGTAACTTGGCTAAACTTTAATCCAGTTTATCACTTCTGAATTTACTATGAGGTGGGTTACATCCATCTATGAAAAAGCTGCATGCCAGGAATAAGAAAAGCCCAATTTCCTCAGAGCTTTTACGAAGACATATGGGTTGATCTCGATAGAATTAAGGGTGGGAGAGAAAATATGGCAAACTGCTGATTTATGAAGCTAGAACAGATTCCTAAATTAATACAGGGTGGAGGGAGCCTGTGGCAAGGTGGTGCCTGGTGGGTCCTTTGCCACTATAAAGGCAAAGGGTAAAGGGACCCCTGACCATTAGGTCCAGTCGCGGACGACTCTGGGGTTGCAGCGCTCATTTCGCTTTACTGGCTGAGGGAGCCGGTGTACAGCTTCCGGGTCATGTGGCCAGAATGACTAAGCCGCTTCTGGCGAACCAGAGCAGAGCACGGAAACGCCGTTTACCTTCCCGCCGGAGCGGTACCTATTTATCTACTTGCACTTTGTGCTTTCAAACTGCTAAGTGGGCAGGAGCAGGGACCGAACAATGGGAGCTCACCCCGTCACGGGGATTCAAACCGTCGACCTTCTGATCAACAAGCCCTAGGCTCTGTGGTTTAACCCACAGCACCACCTGCATCCCTTTGCCACTATATAGATTACTTATTTTGTATTACATACATACATTATTATCATCAGTACCATGTTTATATCCTACCCTTCCTCCATAAGAAGCCCGGTAAAAAAGGCTTTTATCCGCATAAAAATCTTTGCTCTGATATTCCTTGTTATCCCTTGGAATGATTACCAACTGCAATTTGGACAAACGCTACAATTTCCACAGGGAAACTGTCCCTCAATTGTTTTCTGATTGAATGTTCTGATGGACCCCGTACTCTTTCTTTCATTCTAGTACGTATCAACCAATGTGTTTTGGGTGTGTTCGTCAGCAAACAAGGGACTGCTCCTACACCGAGGAATAGGGCAGTTTTTTTCTGACTTAAGAGCGGCATGCACACAGAATTAGAATGCAAGGCAAGCACACAAATATTTTCAGATGTTGCTCAAATAAACATTCCCCTAAGCGCTGGGAAAGCATCAGACAAGGAGGTGAGGTGGGAAACACATTTAAATCAGGTGGCAAAGCAGCAAGTGACTCAAACGAGACAGACGCTGTACAATGTCACCAAGCAGTTCTTGTAAAAGTATACCTACTTTGCATGATTGTATGCATCAATCTCTTCCAGTAACACGCTGTCATTCAAAGAAGAAGGTTTGGTCTTTGCCAGGATTTTAAGTACCATTCCAGCTTCAGAGCCAACAAAGATGACTGTGTAGTTTTGATACGGGCCGGCAGAGTGGTCCACTGCGATTGCTGTCAACCGATACCTGTCAAGACCAAGATCTCCTGTATAATAATTCCTCCACATTAGAGACCCCCAAAATTTGTTCCTCCTAGGTCCTGAATACGGAAGTACCACTGCTTTTGCCTAGTCTGGGGAGGCAGCAGCTAACAACACCAAATTATACACTCATCTCTATTTATGCTGTTTTCAATCAACACTTTGGGGGATGCTTTTAGCTCCCAGTGGCTGGGAATGTAGGGAGTTGCAGTCCTGGGACATCTGGAGGGGCAAAGGCTCCCCATCCTTGCAATAAGGAATGAGAGGGAAGGAATGCTATTTTTAACAAGCGAAGTGTTGTGAACAGTTGAGTAACAACCGGAATAGTCACTGTCTGGAAACACAGCTGAGTGACAGTCAAAGACTCAGACTCATTCTCCAAAGTGGTTTTGGAGAACCATTTATGGTTTTGGCAACTGTAATCAAATCCCACTCATGCTAGCTCATGCTTCCATAGACATCCTCCACAGCTTGGTGGCCAATTTGCTAGTGTGTCAATGACAAGAAACCTGATACCCGTTCAAGTGGGACCAGAATAAGTGCTTTGCTGATGTGGCACTCCTTGAACTCAGTGGAGCTTGCCTATGAGTAGGTATATCGAGGGTTGCACTGTGTTTCCTTTCTCCACCAAAGCCAATGGGTTGCGGTTGGAATGATTCACTCAGAAACTCTGCAGGGCAATTTGAGCCAGTGTGGTGCAAGCTCACTAGGAGACCTTGGGCCGGTCCCTGTCAATCAACCTAACTTCCATCATAGGGTTGTGAGGATGAAATGAAGAGGGGGAGAACCTCGAGCTCCTTGAAGGAAAGATAAGCTATGTTCCTGTTTATAGCATGTTGTACCATCCTAGATGGAGGTGGGTGAAGAGCCGAGTGTAAATCACGCTTAATGCTGCCAGGCATTTTTTCTAGACCAGATGTTTGCTTTGCAACAAATATTTGGCTGGGGATTGGCTGTGTTATCTGCATTGTTGCTGGGAATGCTTAAGAGTGAGGTTTGCATGTGGAACGTTTTCAAGAATGTACTTGGGAGAGGTTACTGGAGTGGAGGGGCAGAGCTGCCTCTTATTTTGTTCAGTTGCTAATGATGCTCTCTGATGGAATTTTATGGCATTTTTGTATAGAAAATCTAACAAAACCAATTCTGTAACAATGTTTATTTTGTTTTCCTGTTAATCATGCCATCTTAAATGTCTATTCTCCATTATGTGACCTTCATTTGTAAGGGTGTTGTTGGTTTTTTTTTTTTTGTATTTTGCAATGCTATGTCAGATGCTTGGAGCTGGGTTGCAAAACACATTGAGATTTTTATTTGTTTGGAAATACAAATCCATATAGAAGAAACGGTAAATAAGATAAAGATCCCACGTCTGACAACATTGCATTTTGCATCTCCCTGCCCTCCCACCGCAACCCCAGGCTTCACATCATTGGCCGCAGGGGCAGGAAAGCAGAGCACAACATTATGCCAGCCATGTACACTCTGCCCTGCACATGGCCAGCCCTGGGTTGCTTATCACACATAAGCTCTTTGTGACACCTGCAAGAACCAGATCTCCCATACTGCACAATCTCTGGTTAGATCCAAAGAAGTGTGTAGTTATTTGCTTGTTTAAATCAGAGGAGAAGAGCTTGCCTCTTTGGGGCAAGCTTTTGCGGGCGGCACATACCAGTGGTGGGGACAGAGGCAAAAATGGCTGGAACATGATGTAGGGTTGCCATATTTTGAAGAGCAAAAAAGAGGACACATTTGAAGACTTCTACTTTTAACTATAAGGGATGCGGGTGGCGCTGTGGTTTAAACCACAGAGTTTAGGACTTGCCAATCAGAAGGTCGGCGGTTCAAATCCCCGCAACGGGGTGAGCTCCCTTTGCTCGGTCCCTGCTCCTGCTAACCTAGCAGTTCGAAAGCACGTCAAAGTGCAAGTAGATAAATAGGTACCGCTCCAGCGGGAAGGTAAACGGTGTATCCGTGTGCTGCTCTGGTTGGCCAGAAGCAGCATAGTCATGCTGGCCACATGACCCGGAAGCTGTATGCCGGCTCCCTCGGCCAATAAAGCGAGATGAGCGCCGCAACCCCAGAGTCGGTCACGACTGGACCTAATGGTCAGGGGTCCCTTTACCTTTACCTTACTTTTAACTATGGATCGCTGTGATGATTCTACCCGTGAAAAAGAGGACATGTCCTGGAAAAATAAGAGGGCACATGGAAACCCTCAACAACAGATCTACGAATCGCAGAGTTCCCTGGGAAGAGGGACTGACTGTTAAACCACTGTGAAAACAGCAGCTCTGTAAGGGGGACAGGGGTATCCTAACAACTGTCAACAGCCTTAACAAACTACAGTTCCTGGGATTCTTTGAGGAAGCCGTGACTGTGGCATGGCACTGCTTTAAATGTATAGTACAGATGAGGCCTTAATCAGTCCCGTGTAGGAAAACCTGATCTCCCCAAAGTCCTGCCTGGTGTGGCTGGCATAGTATTATGTTTCAGATGTGCAGCGGCTGAGCCTCGTGTCGCAACAAGGCCTCCTTCCTTACCTGACCCTTGTCTTTGTAAACCAAGGCTCCTCAATGACGGAGGGAACGGCGGAATCCATCAAAGGGTGGGATTTGATGAAAGAGAGGGTTTCATCTGGGAAATCAATGGAGGTTTTGTAAGCCTCTGCTAGGCCGTGTTTTGCACAGCACCCAGGTCTGAAAGGAAAGCAACATTTTTTTCCCATTTTTTTTTTTTAAGTGAAGGGAAGGGGCAGAATTCTGAAGGAGCAGCACGAACAGCCAAGGAAAAATGAATTTGGAGTCCAAACGAAAACTGCTACTTTGGGACCATTTGAGACAATCGCTCAGCACAAGGCTGGCCAATTGCTTTGTTACTCCATGTTCATGATGAGGGAGTCATCTGAAATTCTGTCTAGATTTTGGGGTTTTGCACATTTTTAGGAAGGTTTACTTGTAGCATGCTGAGGTTCCAAGCCTTTGATTCCCCATTCCTGGCTCATTCTCAACATCTGGACAGGTGGGGGAAATGTTCTTCCATTAAATATCATACAGGTGCAATCTCTATTACCTTCTCATTGCCTACTGAAGAACTTCCTACTCCAACAAGTCTTTCAAAAATCTCTGTATTTGTACTTTAATTAGTGCATGCGTCGCTTTCCACACGCGTCTCAGTGCTTGCCTTTTATATATATTGAGCCATTTCCTGCTTTCTAAGCTTGGGTTTCAGCTGTTCTGCCTTTGCCCCCAGAAAACCTGCTCTTTTGTACTAAATCAGAATAAATGGCAATCTGCTATCAGAAAACCCGACTGCTGTTTGCTCTGATTCAGCAATAAACTGCAGGTTTTCCAGGAGGAAAATGGTGGGCAAACAAATTCTTTAGTTGAGTCATTTGTCATCAGAACATAAGAACACAAGAAGCTGTCTTACCCCAAGTCAGACCATTGGGTCATGTAGATCAGCACTGTCCACCCTAACTGGCTGCTGTTTCCCAAGGTTTCAGGCAAGGGTCCCTTCCAGTCCTAATTGGAGATGTCAGTGATTGAACCTAGGTACTTCTGCATGCAAGACAGAGGCCTTGCCCCCTTGCCATGTGCAAGGTGCAGTTTGAAATTAAACATAAACACTGATTTGATCTGTTATTTGTATGCTGCTTTTCCATCAACCAATTTGAGCTCAAAGCAGCTCACAATTCCCAGCCAGAGGCACATGGATGGACCAACGTGTTCTTCACTGATTCCAAAGCAGCTGTACAGATGGGGCCATGACAACAACATTCTGATGACAGATTATCATTCATTTATTTCCTTTACCTCGGCCTTGGTACTTTGTCTTCAGGTACAGCTGTCCAAACAGAATCTGGAGTCTTTTGTTCCTTAAATCTTCCTTTGAAGACTTTCTCAATGTCCTCCATGCTAAAGGCACACACTGCGGAACCGGGGATGCTGTAAAAAGACACACGGGAGAAGACGTTGCAGGGAAGCCAGGCGACAAAGCAGCGACGGATTAACCGTCGGCAGTGAACCAGAGAACCTCCCTCTCTTTTTGACGCCGGGTCGCTCATCTCTTACCTGTTAAGCTGCGTAGTGAATACGCCGACAACAGTAGGGGCTCCGTTGATTTCTATTATGTCTGTGATCGACTGGAGCACGTCAAAGTAGAAAAACGAATCCCCGGGGACGGAACAGTTGAGACGCGCTTTCAGGAATGACGTCCAGTGCTTCTCCAGCACCCTCTGAGAGCCACCCATGTCGTTTTTGCAAATGCGAGCTACACGGGAGTACACAGCCTTGCGTGGGGGACAACAGGAAAGGAGGAAAGTCAGGCTGGCAACTAATCCGTCTGGAAAACCACCACTGTTATAACAGCAACTTTGGTAAAAGGAAACCAACTGCTTGTAGATTCCCTATGCCAACTCCATTGGCAGGGGTGGGGAACCTTTCTCAATGTATTCATTATTTATCCATTATTTTTGTTAGTCGCTTTTCTCACCAAGTGACCCAAAGCAACTTATATTAAAATGAATCAAGATGAAAATGTTGACAATAGGACCCATAGAGGGGATGGGGGCTGGGAGTCCCGAGATTCAGAGTTATCTCTTTACATGGATGTCTATTTGGTATAGTTATAAATTCATATTTGTAAAATCAAATAAAAATAACAGGGTGGGGGAATCAAGAGCACACAATTATACAAATAAAAGGCAGGACTTAGGCAACGGACCACAATGCCACCCATCAAATTAAGGTCCAAAAGCCCAGCTAAAGAGAAAAGTATTTGCCTGGCATCTAAAAATGGATAAAGATTGCACTAGAAGTGCCTCCCTGGGGAGGGCATTTCAGAAGTGTGTGTGTGTGGGGGGGAGAGGCAACCACTGAAAAGGCTCATGTTGCTGCCCCCCCTCCCCAGAACCTCCTGTGAAAGGGACACATGAAGAAGGGCCTCAGATGATGATTGCAAAGCCCAGGTCAGTTCATGTGGGGAGAGGTGGATCTTGAAGCTGCACAAGGCTTTGTTGGTCTGGAAAAAAATTGATAGGCGGTTGTGCCAGAGCTGGTATTGTATGTTCAGACTGCCCTGCTCTGGTCAGCAATTTGGCTGTTGAATTCTGCACCAGCTGCGGTTTCCAAATGGTCTCTAAAGGCAGCCCACTTTATAATGCATGCCTGTTGTCCAACCTGGAGGTTTACTTTCAATATTTATATAATACTTGTCATGCAAGCTTCTCCACACTTTCCTGCTTTTCTTAACCATTGTACAATAGGCTAGTTTCTACACACACATTTTCTATCCTCCATCCTTGCAAACAAGAGGAATTATCAGAGTTCAAGGTTACATTCCAGTGAGGTGAAAACACTCATGGAAGGCGTGAAGCAGTCTCGCTAAAGGGTGCCGTGTGGGTTAGGAGTGGGCTTTGGAGTCTTGAGGGCCAGAGACAGATGCCACCGGATCTAAGATTTCTCATTCCCGCCACAGAAAAAGGAAGCCATGTTTTGATTAGGGCTCAGCCACTATGAAAACCTTGGGTCAAACCTAGCCCCATACTACCTATCTCTCCAATTGCCCAGCTCAGAAATGGGGTGTAGATGAGCCCCAGGTCTTTTTGAGGGAAGGGAGTCAAATTAGTCCTCCAGCAAATCTAGTTGCCGACCAGTTTATAGAGACAACCAATTATAAATCCTGGTCTTGTCTACATCTGTGTTGCAGCACTAAAATAAGAGCAGGAGGTTCATTTGATTCACAGGTGAATTTTCCAAGCGATTGTGTTCCATGTGTTTGGGTAGGGAGGAGGCCAATTTGGATTTTCACTGACAGGGTAAACCTCTTTACAGATGAAGTCCAGCTCTGGAGAACAAAGCTGTGAGACTGGAGGTTGGGTTGGGTTGGGGGGTGGGGAACACAAATTCCACCACCTCCTTCAGCAATTAGAAGTATGAGAAGTGCCAGCTTATTATTTTCAAAACCAGTCGTTGAACAGAAACGACTGCGAGCCACTCCATAGCAAGCATATTTTCAGCCCGCTACAAATCACCCAGAGACTTTGTAGCTTATCATAACAAACAGCTGTATTTACACTTACCTTGCCTAAGTTATTATGCTCCACGGCAATCTCTCGAAAGAAGAAATACACAAAGTTCCCGTATTCAATGGCATGAAGGAAATGGGGCTCTGCAAGATTCAAGGAAGAGGAGATCTATGTTGGGAGGATTTTGCTTGGTAAAAAAAGGAGGCACCTTGCTACAGCTGGGTTAACAGCCCAATATGGCATGAGAAAGAAGCATGGGGTTGCAGCCAACCAAGTATTACTCAGAGTAGACCCAATGGCATGACTAACTTAGGTCCATTCATTTCAATGAGTCCACTCTGAGTGAAAGTTGGTTGGAAACTTTGTAATGGCCATTGTGCTAGCACAGGGGTCAGCAACCTAAGGCCCATGGGCCAGAAGTGGCCCGTGGAGGTTGTTTGACTGGCCCATGAGCCGCCCCCGGACCGAGCTGCCTGTTCGAGCGCTGCGCTAAACCGCGGTGCCGCAAATTGTGTTTGCACACACGCAGACACCGGAAATCGCGGGCACGCACATGCGATCCAGCCCACAGAGGGATCTCCGTGGGACCGATCTGGCCCAGGCAAGATAAACATTGCCGACCCCTGCCTAGCACAACATCACAACAGTGAATTATAGGCAAACGATGAAGCATTACTGACACTGTGCAGGTGTGGTCTGGAAAGCATTAGAAGACCCCATGTAAGAATAAGAGATCATCTTCTTTTTTTTTAAAGGAAGCTCTTCCAAGAGCTGCTGGCACATCAGTTCAGAGTTATTCTGTCAGAAACAAATCACCAACATAGGATCTCAATGGAAAAGGAATGCATAAAGTTGTCTCATACCATGTTTAAGGGGAAGGACTGGAGCTCAGCAGTACTGGAACACATCCTTTGCATGTAAAAGGTCACAGGGTCAATCCCAGGCACCTCCATGGAGGACTGGAAATGAACCTTCTCTGTATACCAGGAAAGTTGCTGGCAATGCAGATCAGGAGTAGCAAACATTGTCCCTTCCTGATGTTGTTGGACTCCAAATCCCATCAGCCCCAGCCAACATGGGATGATATTAGCTGTAGTCCAAAAATATTTGTAAGGCACCACACTAGCTATGCCTGGGGTAGACAACTCTGAATTAGATGGACCAATGGTCTAAACTGGAGTAGTTTTCTATGCTGGAGTTAGACCATTGGTTCATCTAGCCCAGTGATGGTCAGCTGTAACTGGCACCAGCTCTCCAGAATTCCCAGGCAGGGACTTCTTTCAAAACTTGGTACCCAAAGTCCTTTTTAATTGGAGGTGCCTAAGAATGAAAGGCAGTATTACAGAGATGAGGAACCCATGACTTCTCTGTATGATTTCAATCACCCAATTCCCATCAGCTCCAACCAACATGGCCCAGTGGTCAGGGATGATGGGAACTGCGGTCCAGGAACATCTGGAATACCAATGTCCCCCATCCCTGCAGTATTGGCTCTGCCAACGTTTATGCTACTGCAGAGGAAGGAAAACAGCATTCAAATAAACCTGGCACATACTAGGTTACTACTTCCTTTTTGCAATGAAGGGGGGCGGGGGTGCATTTCCTTCAGAGTAAAGAATGTCTGCATACACCCAAAAGAGGGACAAACCTATCAGATCGAGCGTATGATACTGTGGTTAGAGTCTTGGACCAAGAATTGGACAGCCCATATTCAAGTCCCAGATCAGCCATGAAGCACACACGGTGCTATGATTTCAGTTAATTTATCAATTGCCTTCTCAACCACCATCTCAAGGGGATTTACACATCAAAGACATTTTAAAGATGTTCAAAACAGTTAAAATCTGTGATCTTGGGTCAGTCACTACCTTTTGGTTTAATTGACTGGGGAACCCTAGAGTTCCTTAGATGAAAGGTAGGGTATATAAAGGGAAGAGTCAATGGGTTCAGCCTGTTCCATGTGCCTCTCACGGGATGCTCTCTTGCAGCAGCTCACTAGAAAGCTCTCTTAAGGTTACAGGCATTACAGTCTTCATTAGTGTTACAAACAGGCTGCTGTTGCAGCTGCTATGCAGATCTGGTGCGTACGGATGCCAAAGTGTATCCTGTAGTTACAAAGTGAAATCCACTATTCAAGGCACTTTAGGACATCCAAGTACAGATGGAGTTGAGCTTCAATGAATGTGCAGACTTTAATGTCGGCTAATGGACTGTAAAAAGGCCTCCGAGGAATTGTATCGCAGCTCCGGCCTTTTGTTACTACAGCTTCATTCATTAACTTATTGCGGATTGGGGGGTGGGGGGTGGGTGGGAAAGGGTTTCATTCCTGGGCCAGATCTTTTGCTGGATGAAGACAAAAAGAAGAAGTGGGCTTTGGGTTGTGCTCCACTGAAAGGAGAATATATGCTCACAGCCATGGAGCTTGCCCCGATTCTTTTTCACACACCCACAAACTGCAGCTGGTTATATATAATATGGGATCCTTCATGCCACATATTGGGACGTGGGTGGTTGTAGCTCTTTCATTTAAAAGAACTTACAGAAGAAAAAGATGCAATTTTAATTTTATGCGCAACTGTATATAGAATTATATCAAATTTTGATATAACTAACGCAGAGCAATCTTATACATGACTACTCAGAAGTAAGGCCCATTGAAATCAATGGTACTTTCCCCTAGGATTGGAGTCTTAAGGGGCTAAATAAGTTATTCCCAGAATGCGTACTGGGACACAGAGAATTTACCACTATGCCTATTTTAGATTCACTTCAGTTAAATGCTATGTTTGAACCTGAACAAACTGTGTTTAGTTTTAGCTATGGTTTGTTTGAAGCAAGACAACTTCAAACCATAGTTTACAAAGCAAAGTTTGTGCTTCAACCCATTTAAGTTATCATTAACCATGGTATAGGTGGTTTGGATGCAGTGCGGAACTGTGGGTGATTGAAATCTGCAGTGAAAGCTTCTGATCTCTGCATGGCTGTGTCAGGGAAGGGAGGGAACGAGGAGCATGGTCCCAAGGCTTGTGCATGTAACCATAAACAATGGTTAGGTCCAAACAAAATCAGTGAAAAAAATCAAACTAGTATACTCTTTCGAGTGTACCTCCAATTTTTATTTTTAAATGTGCCTCAGTCCTCAAAGAGTGAGCTAAAGATTTGAACACTGAGAAAGTATAGTCATCAGCAAAAAGAGTGATTGCTTTGTAATTATTGGGTTAAACGAAATGGAGAATATCACCACTCCACAATGCACACAATCTCCAGCTAGGGGCCTACAAAGACATTACAAGCTGCAATTATTAGTATTTCACTATAAGTACCTTTAATCCACTTGGAGTCATATTTTATTGTTCTCAATGCCGACCCGTCCCCCATGCTTCGGTAAATTACCGCATCACTTGCCAGAAAATCTGCAACCGTTGCAGAATAGAGTTTGCCATCTGAAACAATAGAACAAATGAGGCATTTAGTATTCGTTTTAATTCTGAGTAACCTCTTATCATTTTTGTATTCTTTGGGCCACGGAGGTTATGCAGACACCAGAGGCTGGAACAATCCAGCTCCCTCTTGGGTGGTCAGGCTCTGAAAGTTGGCATCCCTTCGTTGCAACGGTTTCACAGACATGGAACCCATCTGTTTGGACTGCATGATGCAGCCTCCCCCAAACTGGTGCCCACCATATGTTTTGGCTTACGTAAGAGTGCACAAGTGAGACCCAAAATATGAAAACAGTACTGTGTTGAACTCTAATGTATATATTTTTTAAAATGCTACACTGAAACAATAGAGCAGGCAAAGGAAATCTCGGCCCTCCAGCTGTTTTGGGACTACAACTCCCATCTTCCCTAGCTAACAGGACCAGTGGTCAGGGATGATAGGAGTTGTAGTCCCAAAACATCTGGAGGGCTGAGTTTGCCATTGCCCGCAATAGAGGGTTATCAACCTATGGGTCCCCAGATGTTGTTGGACTACAACTCCCATCATCCCTAGCTAGCAAGGCCAGAGCTCAGGGAAGATGGGAGTTGTAGTCCAACAACATCTGGGGAGGGACCCACAGGTTGAGAACCGCTGGAGTAAAATATATATTAGAAGACAAAGCACTGGTTGAAAGTCCATTTCAACTAATTAGTCCTTTTCCGTCTTCTTCGTTTAATCTGGTATCCTCGGGATTAAATGCTGTTTTGGTCCACTATCATACAGCCTCCCTCATTGTTTAAACTTAATCCTTGGTTTAGAGAAGAAGAGCACTTCTGGATCAGGCCAATGGCTCATGAGTCCAGCATCCTGGCAAACTAGGTGCTTGTGGGAAGCCTGCAAGCAGGACGTGAGGACAACAGGCCTCTCCCCACTTGTGATTCCAAGCGGCTGGCATCCAGAGCAGTGCTGTGCGGTCAGTGGTCTAGGGGGACTAGGCTAGGGGAACGTCCCCTACACGTTCCTGGAAAATCAGAGTATTAAAGTTTTAGAGCCTGGTGCCTCCTTCCCAAAGCCAAGGAAGCTTCTGCCCAGTTTAGGGAGGGAGGAGCCATGCTCTGACGGGGAGAGAGGCTCGATGCTCACATGTGTGAAGTTGCCCCCACAAGCCTCTGGCCCTAACCGTTCCCCTGAGAAAAATTTCAACACATGCCACTGATTCGGAGGCATACTAACTCCAACACTGTGGGTAGAATGAAGCCACTGCAGCTAGTATCGATCAGTTCCAGGCAGAATAGCTGATGGTCCGGGGTAATAGGAGCTGTGGTCCAATGGTATCTGGGGGGCACCAGGTTCAGGCCATTGGTCAGAGGGCAACATCTGGTGGGACTTCTCTGGGTCAAATTAGTCAAATGAGACCTTACGTTCAATCTTATGATAATTTTATTGAAAAACAGTGCATTTAAAATGTACTGGTGTCATAAAGTACTGTACAGGGAAATGTAAATCCACACATTTTATTAGGTATGTTATAATGGATCCTTGTATAATTATATAGAGACTTTATGCAGATCAAGAAAGCAATATATATTATAAGCTTCCATTAACATACTTTTCATTACTTCACTTTTGTTCTCTTGGATTAATATTGCCTATTGTATATATGTGAAATAATAAACAACAACTCATGACCAACTAAGAGAGGTGTCTTCGATTAAAATAGATTTCTCTCTCTCTTTCTCAGTGGACAAACAGACAAACAGAATGCAGCAACATAGAAAAAAGCTACAGAGGGCAACCACCATCTTAGAAGAAGCATTCTCTCCTGTGCTAAAAAGGTATGCATCTTTTAAGATAATGCCTACTGCCTCATTTAGCCAAGCCTAGGGACACAGGTGGCGCTGTGGGTTAAACCACAGAGCCTAGGGCTTGCCGATCAGAAGGTCGGCGGTTCGAATCCCCGCGACAGGGTGAGCTCCCATTGCTCAGTCCCTGCTCCTGCCAACCTAGCAGTTTAAAAGCACATCAAAGTGCAAGTAAATAAATAGGTACTGTTCTGTAAACAGCATTTCTGTGCGCTGCTCTGGTTTACCACAAGTGGCTTAGTCATGCTGGCCACATGACCCGGAAGCTGTACGCCGGCTCCCTCGGCCAATAAAGTGAGATCAGCACCACAATCCCCGAGTCGTCCACGACTGGACTTAACAGTCAGGGGTCCCTTTACCTTTACCTTTAAGCATGCAAAACTGTAGCATCCTCACAACGTAACAATGATTGATTAATTGATTGAGTGATATAGATAGATAGATAGATAGATAGATAGATAAATGAATGAATGAATGTATATGTGCCTCATCTAAAAACAAAGGGTTGTCTCCAATTTAGCACCAAGTCACTTAGTGGCATACTTCTGCTGGCAAAATGTTTTGCTGTTGGGCAAGAAAATGTCTAAGCATTTAAATGCTGGCAACTTTTTTGCACAGTAGACCGTGCAGTGAGTTTTTGCTAGTGCAATTTCCCCAAAATGATAACTCACCTGCCTGCCCGCTCAAGATCCCTTGCGCTAGTGGATGGAGAATACAGTGGTGCCTCGCAAGACGAAATTAATTCGTCTTGCGGTTTTTTTCGTCTTGCGAAGCACGGTGTCGGGAAAGCTTTGGAAAAGCTTCAAAAATCACCAAAGTCTTTAAAAACCTCAAAAAAGGCTACCACACCGCGTTCTATGAGTTGCTCCTCGAAGTCAAGTCGCAACTGTATTAACGGTGTTAAGAAAAGGAAACAAACTTGCAAGACGTTTCCGTCTTGTGAAGCAAGCCCATAGGGAAAATCGTCTTGCGAAGCAGCTCAAAAAACAAAAAACCCTTTCGTCTAGCGAGTTTTTTGTCTTGCGAGGCATTCGTCTTGCGAGGCACCCAGTCCACCAGCCCCTGGGAATTCCAGAGCTAGAACATACAGTGGTACCTTGGGTTAAGAACTTAATTCATTCTGGAGGTCCGTTCTTAGCCTGAAACTGTTCTTAACCTAAGGTACCACTTTAGCTAATGGGGCCTCCCACTGCCGCCGCACGATTTCTGTTCTCATCCTGAAGCAAAGTTCTTAACCCGAGGTACTATTTCTGGGTTAGCGGAGTCTGTAACCTGAAGTGTCTGTAACCTGAAGCGTCTGTAACCTGAGGTACCACCGTGCTCAACAGATGACTGCCCAGTCTCTGCTTGAAGACACACACTAAGGCGAACCTCTACCGCTCCTTTTCTAATTAGAAATGCCATCCCCCGCCCCTCCGCAAGTGTGCAAATCTGTGCAGAGTCGATTGATTCATGAACCAATTAACAGTGCAGTTCTATTCAGACGTATGCCCCATTTAAGCTATAGGATTGCAGTGTAAGATTCCTTCAGTCTGTTGAAAGCCCTACTTACAAATGGAAGTGTGAGCAGGATTCTCTCCTGTACCCCCATCATAACTTAATTAAAAGTTGATGGAACCACCGGGGCTCCAGAAAAAGAAACTACTTTGGGGCCCAGAACTGTTCCAGGACAGGGGTGTGTGTCAGTTAGTCATCTCAACGTAAACCAGTTGACAATGTGATTATTAATTCCCCAAAAATATGCAATAGACTTTAAAGAAAAAACCCCTCTAGAGAGGCACATTGATGTGATACAGTTTATTTAAGCTTTCTTGAAAATCTCCCGTCCTCTCCGCATCACTCTCTGTATTATTTTTCACCAGAATTCAGGAGAGAAAATGTTCTTACCAGCAAAGAGGGCGACGTTGGTTTGCCTGGCGTCGAACGGGCACCTGGCTAAGCCGCTGAATTCTTCTCCATCGTACTCCAAGGTATTCAGCTGTGGAAGAAAAATAAATTGTTTGGTGGTGTCACATCAAGCTCTGCAGGAAGCGTGATTTTTTTTTGGGGGGGGAGCATTGCTGCTTTGCATACACCATCATTCACTCTGTCAGACTTGATCTAATCTTCCATTTAATGCTTAAGAACTGGTCCTCAAGGAGCTGTGCAAAGGACGATAGCTTTTACATCCACAAGGCTATGCGTCATGATGTCTATAGGTGACCTCCAGGTTCAGGGAGGCAGAATGCCACTAAATTATCAGCGCTGGGGGACAACAGTGGGAGAAAATTTCATTCAGTCCACATTTTTAAGCAAACTAACCTAATTCACATCTTCCACTCCAAATATCTGGGGCTGGAACATCATAATCCTTGGGATTTTGCATCCCTCCAAATTTTGTGATACAGGGTTGTATCCGATGATACTCAGAGCAGACCCATTGAAATTAATGAACCTAAATTAGTATGACCGTTAACTTCAATGGGTCTACTCTGAGGAGGACTAGCACTGGATCAACCCCCAGTTCTCAGCTCGACACCAAATGAAGACCACGTTTTTATTGCTATAGTCAATGACCAGCACTACGGAAACAAAATATGAAGCACGTAACACACATTAACTGAATGTGTATAACAGAGTAAAAGAGAATAACATTAGCTAAGGCAGACAAAAAACAACGCAGAGTAAAATAAAATGGGCATCATAATCCTCTCATCAACTCCAAGTGTCTGGGATCAGTTCCTGGCTGTCTGCCGCAACACAGCCCTTGGTCAAACTGGGATGCAAGTTGATTCGAAAGGACATAAAATGCATATGATCATCCTGGAAAATTTGATAAAGATTTTTACACTAGTCACTGTAAAAGGAGCAGTACAGGAGATCGGAGGGTTTAGATCCCATCTTTCAAGCAAATGATTCTCAAATGCAGACCACAACTGGCTGCAATAACACAAAACGTAAATCCTCACCTCAGGAGCCTTCAGTCCTCAGACATGGTGCCAGAGGTCAGAATAGCTTTCTCGCCATTGGTTCTGCAACCGGCATGGAGCAGAGCTTTCTGCAGTGATGAGCCACTAGTCATGGCTAAAAAGACAACTGCCAGCCCTGCTTGCTGATGTGCTCCCTGGTTCACATTACGTCCAGCCAGATCAGCAGGGCTTTGGCTGAGGATTGCTCATAAAAGTGAACCAGTGTGGCTAGAATGCTAGATTAGGGCCTGGGAGAACAAGGTTCAATTCCTCACTTAGCTATGAAGCTCACTGGGTGAACAGAGATAGCCTAACAGATGCTGTTGGACTCCAACTCTCATCAACCCCAGCTGGTTTCGGACTACAACTCCCATCATCCCTGGTTATGGACCATGCTAGCTGGGGTTGATCAGGTACACTGGTTAAATCTGGGCCGGTTCATATCAAGTCAGCCTCATATATCTCACAAGAGGGAAGAGTACCATGAACATCACCCTCATCTCCTTGGAGGCAATGATGAGGAAGATAACCAAAACAGCAACACGTAGAGAAGCTTCTGTCTTACTGCGCTGAGGTCCTTACCCTAAGGTAGCGGCACATGGGGTTAAAAGCATTGGTTCCACAGACAAATACCATCTCATCATTCCTGGGGACAAAGACTTTAATAAAATTATGGCATTCATCCTGGAAAAGAAGGAGAGAGACTGGTTTACCTTACCATTTACTCACAAATATGGTTTGTTTATTAGAGAAGTAGAACGCCGAGATGACAAATTTTGAATGACACAAGAACAAAACTAAGAGAGATAAAAATTCAAAAGATACTGACATTTATATTGCAACATCCCTGTTTCTGTGTGTGATTTATTATGAACACACACACACACACACACACACACACACACACATTTTATATACCACTTAATCAGAAAAACCTGTAAGCCGTTTACATAAAAATATAAAGTAGTTGTCGCTTTGACAACAAGTACAACATAATAAAAGTGAGTTTTAAATCAACAGTTTTAAAACGAATATGCACAATAAAATTACATGTCTTTTTTTTTATAAGATATTTATTAAGATTTTCAAAATATTACAAAATAAAAATAGAAAAAAGAAAAATACAAAATAAAATTAGTTAAAAACAAGTCAATCTTTCCATTACTTATTTTTCATTAGCTTGTTTCCCGGACCTCCTCACGCCTCCCTTTTTTGTATTCCAGTTCAGTTTGTTGGTTCAGCAAATCCTTTTCCTCTTTGTTTATCCTAATCTTTAATCTTAAAGTATTATAACATTAAATTTTTACCTGTTAGTAATCCATTTTTCATATTCCCTTATAATATTTCAGCTAAAAACCATTTAATTTCTATCCAACATCATCCTAACATTCATTAATTTTGCAATATTTCTGTAAATAGTCTTTAAATTTATTCCAATCTTCTTCCACCGACTCTTCTCCCTGGTCCCGGATTCTGCCAGTCATTTCCGCCAGTTCCATATAGTCAATCACCTTCGTATGCCATTCTTCCAGAGTGGGTAGATCTTGTGTCTTCCAATACTTTGCAATGAGTATTCTTGCTGCTGTTGTGGCATACATAAAAAAAGTTCTATCCTTCTTTGGCACCAGTTGGCCGACTATGCCCAGGAGAAAGGCCTCTGGTTTCTTCAAGAAGGTATATTTAAATACTTTTTTCAATTCATTATAGATCATCTCCCAGAAAGCCTTAATCCTTGGGCATGTCCACCAAAGGTGGAAGAATGTACCTTCAGTTTCTTTACATTTCCAACATTTGTTATCGGGCAAATGGTAGATTTTTGCAAGCTTGACTGGAGTCATGTACCACCTGTATACCATTTTCATAATATTCTCTCTTAAGGCATTACATGCCGTAAACTTCATACCTGTGGTCCATAACTGTTCCCAGTCAGCCATCATTATGTTATGTCCAACATCTTGTGCCCATTTAATCATAGCAGATTTCACCGTTTCATCCTGAGTATTCCATTTCAACAGCAAGTTATACATCCTTGATAAAGTCTTAGTTTTGGGTTCTAACAGTTCTGTTTCTAATTTTGATTTTTCCACCTGGAAGCCAATTTTCTTGTCCGAATTATATGCCTCCATTATCTGATAATAATGAAGCCAATCTCGCACTTTGCTTTTTAGTTTCTCAAAACTCTGCAGTTTAAATCTGTCTCCCTCTTGTTCCAGAATTTCCCAATATTTCGGCCATTTGGCCTCCATATTGAGCTTTTTCAATGCTTTCGCTTCCATCGGTGACAACCACCTTGGGGTTTTATTTTCCAATAAATCCTTATATCTTATCCAGACATTAAACAATGCTTTCCTGACAATATGATTCTTAAATGCTTTATGTGCTTTGATCTTATCATACCACAGATATGCATGCCATCCAAATACATTATTAAAACCTTCTAAATCCAAAATGTCTGTGTTTTCAAGAAGCAGCCATTCTTTCAACCAGCAAAGTTGCTGATTCATAGTAAAGTTTAAGGTCTGGCAGGGCAAATCCACCTCTTTCCTTTGCATCTGTTAGTATTTTAAATTTTATTCTAGGCTTCTTGCCCTGCCAGACAAATCTAGAAATATCTCTCTGCCACTTCTTGAAACAGTCCATTTTGTCCACAATTTGCAATGTTTGAAACAAAAACAACATTCTAGGCAATACATTCATTTTTATCGCAGCAATACGACCCAGCAGTGAAAGCTTCAAATTTGACCAAATTTCTAAATCTTTTTCACTTCGACCCAGCATTTTTCATAGTTGTCTTTAAATAAATTCCCATTTTTTGCTGTCATGTTAATCCCCAGGTATTTCACTTTCTTAACCACTGTTAAGCCTGTCTCATTCTGAAACCTCTCTCTCTCAATTGGTGTTAATTTTTTCTCTAAAACCTTGGTTTTTAACTTACTCAGTTTAAATCCTGCAACCTGACCAAATTCTTGAATCAGTTCTAAAACCCTTTTGGTACTAGATTCTGGCTCCTGTAACGTCAATACTAAGTCATCTGCAAATGCTCTCAATTTGTACTGTTTGGCTCCGACTTGTATACCTTTAACCAACTGGTCCCTTCTAATCATATTCAGCAAAACCTCCAGGACCGATATAAAAGCAATGGGAGATTGGGCAACCTTGTCGTGTCCCTTTTTCTATCTTAAATTCTTCCGTCACCACATTATTTACAATTAGTTTAGCCTTTTGTTCTGAATAAATTGCACTTATACCGTTTTCAAAGCCTTGGCCTACCCCCATCCCCTGTAGGTTCTTCTTCATAAAGCTCCAAGAGATATTATCAAAAGCTTTCTCCGCGTCCACAAATATCAAAACTGCTTTAGTATTTATGTTCACTTCTAATTTTTCCAAAATATTAATTATATTCCTCAAATTGTCAGACAAGTGTCTTCCCGGAGAAAGCCCGCTTGGTCTTTATGAATCTCTTCCATCAACACATTTTTAAATCTATTGGCCAAAATATCTGCAAAATTTTTGTAATCCACATTAAGTAATGATATGGGGCGGTAGTTCTTAAGCTGAGTCTTTTCAGTCTCTGTTTTCGGTATAAGTGTAATATACGCTTCTTTCCACGACTCTGGTGCCCTTTCCCTTCCAATATTTCATTGCAGACTTCCTTTAAAGGTTGTACTAACCACTCTTTCAAGGATCTATAGTATCTAGAAGTCAGCCCATCCGGTCCTGGAGATTTGCCTAGTTGCATGTTTTGAATGGCACCTTCTACTTCCTGTTCAGATATTTTATAGTTCAACATTAATTTGCTTTCTTGAGAGATTTTTGTAGTCCATTTATCTTCAAAAATCGATCTATATCCATTTCTTTCTGTGGCCCTTGTGTATATAATTGTTTAAAGTACCTCTGGAAACAGTTTCTAATCTCAGCAGGGTTGTGTATGTTCTTTCCTTCCACTTCTAGATTTGTAATAGTATTTAATTTTTGTCTTTTTTTCATTTGCCAAGCCAGCAATTTCCCACATTTATTAGCTGATTCAAATGTTTTTTGTCTCATTTGTTTAATTTTCCATTCTATTTCCTGATTCATCATTTCCATATATTGTACTTGATATAATTTTATTTCTCTCAGAATCTCCTGCGACTTTGGTTTTGCTCTAATAAAATTCCATGTCTAGGTAGGTTTGCATAAGCAAAAGAGATTTTAGGAGATGTCATAAACAGTACAGTTTATGCCTGATATCCATCGGCAGAGAGTTCCAAAGTGAAAGCACTGCCATACTAAAAGATTTGATTTCTTGCACGTTGGCTGACACTTGTAAAAATGCCAGTTCTATATATGAAGGGGTTGAGTGAGCACATAGAGAAAAGGCCTTCAAGAAAACTGAGCCAAAACTGTTAAGGGGTTCATATACTAACAGTAACACCTCGAATTGTAACCTGTTAGAACTTGGACTTCTAACAGATCAGCAGGCTGTGTGCAGATCTTTGAGCACAGCACTGGAGAAATCTCACTCCTGCCAGGAATCGTGCTGCAATAGCTGCAGTTTCTTTACTGAGCGTAAGAGAAGGTGCACATGGTGTGTGTTGCAGTAACCTAGTCTTGGGAGTTGGTTATGCCTGGAGTACTGAGGAAAAAGCTACCGAGGGCCAGGAGCAGACACAGTTATCATAGCAGCTGAAGCAGACAACAGATGCTCCTATATACTGAGGCCACCTGAGCATTTAGAGGCAGTTGCATAAAATGCAAATTCTTGTGTCTGTAAGTAGAATCCAAGTCCCATCTCCACGATACATTTAAAGCAGTATCATATCACTTGAAACAGGCAAAAAATCCTAGGAACTGTATGTATGTATTTTTTATTCACTAATACGGCTTGATTGCAAGGGGGGAAAACCCAGTGCAGTTGTTTTTATGGGTGCAAAGAGTTGTTAGGAAACCTCTATTCTCCTCACAGAGCAGAGGTTCCCAGAGTGGTTTAACACATTCAACCCCTCTTTCCGGGGGTCTCTAGGAATTGTAGTTCTGTGAGGGGAATAAGCACCGTTCATAAACTACAGTTCCCAGGATTCTTTGGGGGCAGCAATGACAGTTTAAAAATGACATGATACTGCTTTAAACGTACTGTTCAGATGGGGCCTCATTCATTATCAGTTGTACATTGGCTTCAAGCCCAACTTTTAAAAACATAAACAAGGATTTAAATATTTTTCTGCTTTAAAAAAAGGTGTATGGGGGAGGGGAACAACAAAACGTACTTTGTGTTTTCCCTTCATGGCGCAGTTCTCTCTGTCCTGTTGCCTTGACCGCCATGTTAATTTCTGTTCCAAAAAAATGAAGAAACAAAAATAAGAACATTCTAATGTTTAATGTAGAATTATTATTATTAATTGTTTCTTTTTTTAAAAAAAACAACAACCCCAAAATTAAGCTGTTTTTCCAATACCTTGCTTGGAGCAACTTCTCCCTTTGGAATGTCGTTCAAGTTCACAGTGTAAACTTGATCCCTGTAAGAGCGGAGGAAAAATAGGAATAAGACACTATCAAATCCCCTCAACTCACTGAGAATGAACATCCAAATAGGAAACGAACATTAACTCTCAACACACCAGGTCTGAGAGCGTTTATGAAGAACTACACACATGAAATGGACTTTATATTGATGTAAATTACAGAGGTCAGCTGTGAGAATGGACTAACATCAAGAGAAGGATGAAGAGGAGTTTAAACAAGAATGAAGTAATTCTTCATCAGGAAGTAATGAACATATGCTTGCAACAGGAGTGGGAAACCTCTGGTTTTTTTTAAAGACATTGCATTACATTTAAATAATTTGGACCGATTTGTATTAATTTGGAAAACCAATAAATAATAATAATATATATAAAAGAGAATGAATATCCAAATAGCACCCGCCTAGTTCTGTTAAATGGGGATTCTGTGCCACCGGGATTATGAAGGAGGACTTTGTAATGGCACCAAAGTTCACTTACTAGGGTGACTATCTTGCAGCAGGACCCTCTCTGCTGACATGCCATAGAGAAGGCCCATAGTGAAGAATAAGTGCAGAACAACAGTCACACATTTATTTTAAAGCCAAATAGTTTTCTCAAAGTTACAAAGAATCAAGTTAAATACTAGTTAAATTTTTAAAAATCCAGTTATCCTAGGGCACCAAATGGGCAGAATAGCAGAAGGCAAGTCTGCATTTACTACTGATGAAGCAATTGGGTAAACTACTGTCAACTGGGTAAAATAATGTCTGTATGAGCTTGCTTACTTTTCCATAAGTTAATGGCACAGAGAACAAAAATGGGGAAAAACGAAAACAAACAATTCAGATAGCGGCCAGGAATACCCCTCAAAGGAGTTTGACCACACAACTCCCTCTCCCTGCAGCTACAGTTCTGGAACAGATCCATAAAACCTCCACACCATATAGCTGGATCATACTACACTGGGAGGAGAAGCATTTGGGTATCAACTAGGGGTGGAAGAATATGTCAATCTGGCTTCTGTCAGTTTCTCATTTCATTACAGTTCTCCACATTTGTGCCGTGATTCATGCAGCGATTTGCCACTTTTCAAAAAATACATTTTTTGAAAAATTGTCAGCATTTTAGTGCTAATTTCCCCGAATAAACACAATTTCTGACCATTTTCCACATTTTCTCAAGCCATTAAATAATGCAGTTTAGCATGTTATTTTCAGCCAATACATACGTTTTGATGCATGCTTTACCATAATCTAAGGGGTTTGGGGGCACATTACTTGCATCTTTATAAATTTGAAAAAGTGCACATTTTGGAGGCATTCCGGTTCGTTTATTGTTTCAGAATGTGAGATTTAGGCAAGTTCCCCTTTAATTGCCAACTTAATTGCATTTCTCCTTCTTCCCTAGTACCAAGGACACCTACTCAAGGGAGGCAGTTGGCAGTGCTGCCAGAAACCAGGGACTGATAGACTCGCACATACCTGGTTTCCAGTCTAGAAATGTGTGTCTCATACATGCATTACCGTTTAACCCTACCAGGCTTCTTGGGGGTATCTGTATGAGCCCTGTTCAAAAGAGGTGGCTGGATTAGATGGTCTGATCTAGCAGGGCTTCTCTTCTGTAATATATTGTGTCCCTCTCCCTCTGTGCATTCATTTTCCCCTTCCAGTTCTATTTCCCGATCCCATTCTCTACAGATTACTTTTAAACAAGGTGCACAGATTAAATGCAAAACCAACCAGGGCAGGGGTGGGTAGGAGGGAGGGAGAGAGAATTTTAATTTAATCAACTGACTGCGGGAAAATTACCTGCCAGCAATATAAAGTGTGTCTCGAATTTTCAACATCAGTTGAAAGTCCAGCCTATGCTGGGATTCATTGCCTGAAGGGCGTCCTTTAAATACTGGATATTGCCTTGAATCTGCAAGTAAAAATGGGTTACGCCATCACTCAGGATTATAGAGCTAAAGAATCAATAGACAACATTGATTAGCTGTATATACTGGGAGCAGAAGGCTTAAACTAAATTCCTTGCATAATGCGCTGAATATAAATGAATAAATGGCAGGAACTCTGCAAACACGCTTTAAAACAAACAAACAAACTTGAACTTACTGCACACTTTTGAATGCTATTATTATTATTATTATTATTATTATTAATGATGGAATTGCCTAATAAGTGAAAAGCCAAGTCAATCTCAGAAGGAACAACTGCTTTCCCTCAACAACAACAAAAAATAAATGGCAAGTTTGTTCCCGCCGGTTACTCACAGTGGTAGTCGACAACATTAATAGGGTCGTCGTCTTCTGGGAAGCTGACGGCAGCACTTCGGGAGGCGGTCAATAGCATCACGCAAGCAGAAAGCAGCAAGAGCCTCATGACTGGTGTGTATGGAGGGTGTAGAATGAGCCACTTGGTAATACTATTTACCTGCAGGGTTTAAAAAAACAAAAAAACCCTCTCAAAATAACAATAAAACACACAGAGGGAGGTTGATTCTACTTCAATGCCCCAAGCCAATGAGCGACTCCTTAATTCACACTTTATGCTAGTGAAGATTGTGTAAATTATGTTGCATGAAAGGTCTCTTTGTGTTTGTCGACAGAAAAACTGCTATGTGACAGCCCTGATTAAAACTTTTCTGCGACATATTGACATTTGCTAATTTTTGAGCTAAATTTACAAGTGGGTTTCTTTTCTGGAGGGAGCTGACGAATGTCACCCCGGCTGAATCACAAGGATTGCAAACAGAACATGAAGCCTTGCTGACTTGGCAGGAAGATTGTTAACGTTGGGATTAGAATATTAATTAAACTGCAATCTCTTTCCCTTCTCCAACTAATTGCCACATGGTACCCAATAAAGCCTTTGCCTGTAAGTTAACCAAAGCTCCTTTACAAAATTCAAGGCACATCCAATCCATGTAAACTCCAAGCCAAGTTTTTATTTTTACCTGGGGGGTGGTGGTGATTCTCTGTAAGAGTATTTTCTTGTTCCAAATTATCATTTGAATACTTAATATCCCAGGTTGGCTAACAAAACTGAGCTAGATGACCAAACTTGTGCGTTTCACAAATCAACCACCTCAGTTTATGCTAAAGCTGCAACAATTGTTGTTTTGCCCCACAAAACATAAGGAATATAGGAAGCCGCCATAAAACAGGTCAGATTATGCAACTTGCTAGACCAATACTGTCTACTCTGACCAGCAGAGTCTGCCCAGGCTCTGAGGCTGAAATATTTCCCATTATCTGCTTCCAGATCCTTTTATGGTGCATCATTTTCATTTTTTTTTTTTTTTTTTTAAATCATATTTATTAAAATTTCCAAAAATATAAAAATACAAAGAAAAAAGACAAAAGAAGAAAGATATTTAAAAACCTTACTTTCTTTCCCTACTTTCTGGGACTCCCCCTCCCCCAATTGTATTCCCCTTTCCTTAATTTGGTTCTACAAGCTCTCACTCCCAATTTAAAACTTAATTTGTTTAACCCACTATCCAGATTGAATTATACAACTCTTACCACCGTCCCACGTCATTAACAGAAAAAGAAAAAAGATTTTCCCCAAGATCCACCCCAGTTCCTTCCACAAATTCCCTTTTTTTTAAACACGTCCGATCAAAGTAAAATAACATACGTAAGTTATGTAAAGAAATAGAAAATAAAAGATATAGAAAAATTCAAAAAATGGTTACACAGCCTTTGGATTTCAAATCTCCCCCCTTCCCGGTTTGAATTCCCCATGTCCATCAGTCTATACATTATCAGCTTGGGAGTCTCATTTCATGACCAGATTTCTCCCGATTCCATCTTGCCGGTTTTCTTTTAGTTTATTAATTTAAATAATATTTGACTTCAAATGTCCAATCTAACAAAGGCCTTTAATTTCCTTGATCTTTACCACTCCTCCCGTTGTTCTTTCCGTGTCGTAATCAGTCCTTTATTCTTCTTATTCCTCACTTTCTCAGGTTTCTTGTCCTGTTCAGCTGCTAAAACTTTCTAATTCAGAAATCTAGTGTCTCTGCAGAGGTTTGTTATTCAGGAACAAAAACTTACGTCCAGTCCCTTTCTTTCTTCAATAAAAAATCCATTGTCTTCCTCTGTAGACAAAATATTCTTTCAGTTTTGCAGCTTTCCCAGAAGATAACAAATCCTGTGCGAATCCCAGGGTATTTTTCCACTTACGACCGTTCTGGTAGTATCCCGAAACCCCTCTAGGGGGATTGTAATAACTTTGTATCCTCTAATCCAAAAGTCAAATTGTTACTTATTTTCCAACAGTTTATATCCATATTATAGCAAATTGTAACAAAATTTACCAGCAAGGTCCTCGTAAAGTCCTCTTTATATTCTCCAGCTTTGACAGCCACTTTGACAGCTGTCAAAGTCTCCGTCTCTCTTCACCAGGCTCCACGAATCGCCCCGGTTCCCAGGGGGGGGGGGGTGCATTTTTCTTCTCACCCTCCACTCTTCTCCTCCAGCACATTTCTTATAATTTCCCATCGTGAAATTAATGATTTTTATCAGAGACATACTTCCCTTTGGACCTTGGTTACCCAGTCCTTGTTTTGGAATGTTTACAATAGGGGGGGGGATTGACTTCCTTTTTAAATCGCCCCCGCTCGTGCCAAATCCAAAATTTTAAACCCGGTTTCCCAATTACTCACGGGTTGTTGTTAATAGTCCAAATTTTCAATAGAAGAAGTCAGCGCTCTCCGCCGAATGGCATGCGGCTGCGCTCGGCAGGGAAAGCAGTGGACTCAAAGCACCACGCCACTCCCGGCACCCGATCCGAAGCCTTTAAAAAGGCTCCTTCACGAGTCGGGAGGGCGCTAATGGTGCAAGCCGAGTCACCCATGTCCACGGACTCCGTGCCCGTGGTTTTTAAGGGTCCCCGCGTCGCCGGCGCGGTAGGACCCAGCCCCTGCCGAGCAGACTCCCTCCGGAGCTCGGAGGGAGTCCGCCATTCGGCGATGGCGCTAACCCGGAAGTCTATGGTGCATCATTTTCAGAAGACATTTGGAGGAGAAGAGGCCTGTTGCTATTAGTAACTGGCAGCAACTGATGCTACTGTGCATTTTTAATGATTGCATTTTTATGGATTTTATGGATTCTTATCTACCTGTTGTGACTTTGGCCTGTGCACAGGGCAGTATATAAATCATCTAGATAAATAACTAGAAAGGGCATGGATTGAACCTGGAACATTATGAACACAGAAAGCTGCCCTGTACGGAGCTGAACAATTGGTCCATGTAATAATAATGAAGATGATAAATTATTATATGCCGCCGAACTGACTGGGCTGTTCCAGCCACTCTGGGTTGCTTCCAACAAACTAAAACATCAAACCCAGTAAAAGATTTAAAATTTCCCTACAGGGGGCCTTCAGATGTCTTCTAAAATAGTTCTTTATTTCCTTGATATCTGATGGGAGGGCGTTCCACAAGGCGGGTGCCACTACCAAGAAGGCTCTCTGCCTGGTTCCCTATAGCTTTACTTCTCACAGTGAGAAAACCTCCAGAAAGCCCTTGGAGATGGATCTCAGTGTCAGGTCTGAACGATGGGGAAGGAAATGGCTTTGGCCCAGGTATCCTGGGCCAAAGCCGCTTAGGTCTTTAAAGGTCAGCACCAACATTTTGAATTGTGCTCGGAAATGTACTGGGAACCAACGCAGATCAATGTTACATGGTCCCGGCAGCTGTTCCCAGTCACCAGTCTTGCAGCCACATTCTGGATTAGTTGTACTTTCTGGGTCACCTTCAAAGGTAGCCCCACACAAAACAGGGCTAGTTCAGTATTGACTGGCAGTGGCTTTCCAGGGTATGATCCACAAGGCCTCCTTGAAAGGTCTGAGAATTTTACCAAGGGTATAATGGGGGAAATGTTCTGCTAGGCAACCTGGTCTCAAGCTGTTTAGGGCTTTTATGTGATAAAACCTTGATTGCAGCTCAGTAGCTAACAGGCAGGCAAGTGCAGATCTTTCACCACGGGTGTAATACGTGTACAGCCTTGAGCATGCTAGCTGCTGCATTCTGCACTGGCTACAGATTATTAAACAAGTGCAGTATATTATACACAGTATATTACAGTAGCGTTACCATGGGGCTACCAATGCATGAACCAAAGTAGCCTGATTATTCCTATCCAGGAATGGGCATCAAAACCCAAAACTGGTAGTGGGTGCTCCATGCCAGCAAGGCCACTTGGGCATCCAGTGACAGAGCTGACTCCAGGCACTGTGTACCTGCTCCATCACAGGGTGTGCAACCCCATCCAAAACAGGCAATACCTGGATCCAGAGATCCTCCACCCTCAGGGTCTCTGTCTTGTTAGGATTATCTCAGTTTATTACCCCTCATTCAGCCAGTCGTCAGAGATGATGCAATTGGAGTTCAGCAACACCTGGAAAGCTGCTGATTCCCTACTCCTGTGTTGGTCATTTGTGCCTTCAAACCCAGTGTCTAAGCTACTGTGGGGTTAGGCAAGGTACACAGCCTTTAATGAAATTCTTAAGCCTGGCTCCTAGATCCCTTGCTCAGTTTTAGCTGAATCACACACCTCTTATAGTCTTCTAAAAATGGTAGCTAAGGAGAGATGGTCTGTGATCTGAGCAGTGTGTAAAAATGCAGAGGGGAAAAGGGGTCAACATTTGTAAAGCGTACAATTGGAAAACTTTCGTAATCCCTTTTTTTTTTGCCCCAGATGAGCACTGGTTTACAAGACTATTCACGGGAATGCAGGATGTGATTCTAGACCTGGCTACCATTGCAAGCTTGAGCTCATCCCAGTCCTTAATTGATTTCTGGGCCGGCTTGCTTGAATGAGGTCATTTTGGAATCAGCCCGGATGGGGGTACTACTTGGCAAAGCAAATTGCGAGGGAGTTCTTAGCCATTAAGAGCTGACCCGAAAAAGATGCATTTCTAACTGTTAATGATGTTTCTGCATCACAGGTCCACCAGTCCAGAACTGATGGGCTGCCCTCTTTGCCAAGATTGATGAGCAGCGGTGGCTAACAGACACTAATGATTCCTGGCATTTTCCCTCTGCTCTTCCCCGTCCCGACAGCCTCCCATGATGAAGCATCTAACATTAAATTGCTAATGAATAAACGTAAACAAACCAGAAGGACTAGGCTGGAAGGAGAAAGAAAGAGCACAACCCAAATGCAACCAAAGACAAGGTATTTTGTAACATGACCGTTTCAAGGCGGGAGGCAGTAAAGCACGTAAGAAGGACTCTGCTGTCCTTCTCTGGGGTGGAGAGACATTTTTGGTCCAAGGGTCACATTTCCTTCCAGGGGCCACAAGCCAGTGATGGATGCGGCCAGAGTGGGCAGAGCAATTCATGTGGTCTTAGCTTTGCACGTGCAAAA